TTTTTTTTTCAATATTACATATAGGCAAGCGAATGTTATGTATAAACTAGCTTTCGCCCGTGTCTCCGTCCGCGTGTAATTGAAAAAAAAAATGGTAGCCTACGTGTTCTCCCAGATTAAACTTCAGAGGTGTTCTGCCAAATTTGATCGAGCACTACAGCAGTTCAGGCTACAAACTCGAACATCCATCCATCTAAAGTTTCGCATTTATACTCGTAATGCTTGTAAGAAGTAGGATGTTCTGCATGCCGGTAACGGTTAGACATTAACATTTAACAGTTATTATGCCCGCTTTAACATCTTAGCACTAGGTGCCGGAGGCCTAATTTAAGTCCCTTTCTCTTTACCGCCCTTTTCTTATAAGGAGAGGATGGGAAGGGGAAATGGATTTGACGGTGGAGGAGATGCATAGGAAGGGGCAATATCCTCTTTATGCGCGTCTCCTCCTCCAAAAAAAAAAAATCCATCGGACAAAGGTAGGCAACGCATCTGCGATCGCGGATGTCTATGGTCAGTGGTCGCTTCGCCATTTTAGCGGATTCAGGTGGCCGCTTGCTCGTTTGCCACCTTATGTTATAAAAAAAAGACATCTGTTAATCCCATATTTAAATTATTTCATAGCTTATATAACTTACCTATGATTTTATCTTTTTTGATACATATTTTTGTAATATAAAACTTTTCATCTTAATGTCTTAGATATATTATTGTTTTATTATCTCCTGGGGAAGCGAGGCTTCACTAGCAATGAGTTATGTTGCGATCTAGTATTCTATTATACGGCCGACTCTATTCGCAATGATAAAGGCATGCCCAGACAGCGCATGTTTTATGTTCACACAAGATCCGTATTGAAATTCAACATTGTAACACGTATAACCATAATATATTACTCGATACCCTTTTACGGAACTTTATTTATGATGTCTTTATTTATTTTGTCTGTAGTCCATAAAACGTTTAAATAATTCATATTTACACATCTTAATTTCGTTCAATTCCATATCTTTCTTTAACAGGTACACTCATAAGGCGTGAGGTGGAAGTAATTCCGCCTGATCAGTAGTGCGTAATGTATGCCGGAGGCCAAATACTAGTGAATTAATTCCGATTGGTGTATTTCATTGTTTTATCAAATTTAAATAGCTGCTTCAATCATCACATTTTCTTTAAATGAAAAGGTTCAAATAACCCAATATAAAACAAAATCCAATATTGCACCTTTCTATGGTTTGTAGTGCATCGTAAATTCTGCAAGGTAATGGACTGTCAGGGGCAGCTTAATGAGATTCAGACGTCCCAACGCATTCGCAGCACTCCGCTCGTGTGAACTCACCTTAATCAAGGGACTATTCTGTAAAAAATGTCATTTTACTCACCTCGTAACTACTATAAATTTAAAAAGTCATATGAAATTTGTCGATCAGAATTTCATACTGAATTTTAAACTGATGCACGTTAAAAATAATTGAATATTATTTGTACAGCGAAGGATAAAAGCTAGTGAAGTACGGAGTGCGGGTTCACCGAGCAATTTACTGATTGCTGAATGGAAAATAAACTTGTAGTGCGGCGACGCGACAGCAATATGATATCGATACACTCATCGCTCGAGTGCGCGGTGCCGACACTAGTGCGGTGCTCAGATAATCGATTATCGATTATTTTAACGACGAATTACTATCGATATTAATCATCTGATATCAGCCAACGCTTTAATCGTTCAATGAAATATTTTAACAATGGTAAAGAATACCTGTATAGATACATTATTTCGTAGTTTTATTAACATGTATTTTACGTTTCAATAAATCACCTGGAATCCTTTGAATTCCAAATCGGAATAATAAAATTGTTTATTCGACCTACTTAGATGTAGGCGAGTGGGAATATTAGAGGATATTTATATGAGCGTACTTTAGTAATATATTCTAAGAAGAAACAAAGGAAATGAGGATTGTTTCTTTCGCACAGACAAGCTGAGTGCTGCATAATTAGGCATTAACTGTGTCTCTGTGAAAATAAATACTAGAATTGTATACAAAGATTATTTCAATTAAATAAGAGATTAAAAATATATTACATAATGATGTTTGAATTCATATTCGAAATAAATTTGTACTCAGGATTTAGAAAATAATGTTCATTTTCTTGCTTAAATCAAAAAATATTGCATACTATAAAATCAAAGACATCGTAAATTTCAAAATGTATTGTAAGTTAATGCAATGTTCTTCAACTAATGTAACTCGCGGATTATTTGATATGAAGTTATCAAGTAAACCATATCGTTTGTATCGAGGATAATTTATGACCCTTTATTACAGTTAATTCTCATTATAAGATAAGATTTCATATTTTTAAATTATCAAAATTAATGCTTGAACGTGGTTTTTACCGGCAATTTTTTTTTATATTACAATTCTTTAAAAAAGGAATAGAAAAAACGAAGATAAAAGATTTAAAAATGTGTTCAACAATAACGGATGACTCTGGCAACGATAAGTTTAGTAAAAGTTCAATAAAGTCCATACAGGTATATATTTTCTCCTTTCAGCAACGTTACCGCACCCAAAGAGTACATTTTACATAGTTAAAAAGTAAGTAAGGTTAACTCGGACATTATTTAAGACTTGGCATTTGTATACTTTGGAGGTACTCTTGGTGAATGCACCAGTTTTTGACCACTAGATAAAATCATGCAGTGCGATTAGAAATTTTCCATTCACAGATTAATACAATTGGAGTGTTATAAAAAGAAATACAAATTTAAATTTCAAATCTTTTTTGTACCTATGTTAACAGAATTCTATTTCGAAAGGCTATGTAAATGCAGCTGTTAAGAGAAGTGCGAAATTGGATTTACAAATGGGTTTCGAGCGGCGATCCGAGGCCACCAATAAGAGGATCCAAGTGATTTTACAGTTATTCTATATCGAAGTTTTAAACCAACATTTGCACCTTTACTATTTTTAAATTTCTAATTTTTTAAAGAATATTTCCAATCCAATATGTTATTCAAAAACTAAAGATTATTTTTCTCTTCTAATTCTACAAGTAACAGTACTTTTAATAAATAATATCTTAAAAGCGCACGCACACCTTTGACCAAACTATTGCACAACTGTTTAGTGTAAGTGTGTCGCTTTGATGCCTATAAGCTGACATGGAGGTGCGCACACTACTCGATTTTTAGTTGTTTAACTTAACAATTGAATTGACTGCAAAACAATCGACAATCGTCCAACACTTGCGCTATAGTTTAATCAAAGGTGTGCGCAGAGAAGAAATCATAATAATAATGATGCGTCTTGCTCCAACGGTAGGCCCAAGATCCAGAATTCTTTCATCTTAGTAATATAGGTTCAGTTAAAACACCTGAGTTTTCAACATTTATTTATATTTACCTTGCAGGGCTTTGCAACCCAGTCATCAACGTAGCTGAATTGTTGTGTACATTGTTAGCAAGCCGCGGCATTCGAGCCCCTCGTTCCGCGTCCCGCAGCCCGCACGCCGCAGGCCACAGACCGAAGCGCTCCGAATATTGACGGCGCGACAGGAATTCAGTCCAGTGTTATATAAATCTAAACATTAACAGCTATTTAATTAATTAAATTTAGATTATTGTATTGGGGTAGTTCGTAATTTATCCAAAGACAATGATAACAAGGTTAGTTACTGGCAATCCATCTGAAGACCATTAAGTTTCTGTGAAAAAACACATATTGACATTTCCGTGCTGCCACCGGAAAAATAGTAATAATTATTAATATCTCTCGATGGTTTAATCATTTTTTATTGATATTTGTTTTAAGATTATTTGCTACGAAAATCAGTTTAATAATAGCAATTATTTACTAAATAATAAAGACAAAAACATGTATATTTAACGAAAAAAGCCTGGTTTTCTTCACGATCTGTTTAATCAAATAAATCTTGATAAGTTATATAAGGTTGAAAAATATTCGTATATTTCGGAGTAATAACAAAGCTTGTTAAATATTGTAGCGTCCATTTTGAGAACTAATGAATTCCACTCGGATGAACAAATTAATTAAAATTTTATTATCAGACCATTAATATTTTGTGTAATTTCCAATTAGAATATCGTTATAACAATTTGGACAAATTCGTTAAGCTACTTTATATTATAAAAAAAATAAATCGTTTTTTACATCTCATTAAGTTCATGATATATTAACAATTTCATTTCCAAGATAGTCAGAAATTGTTGTAACTATCCAATGTTTACTGAAAATTCAAAATTTATGGAACATCACTAAATTGTTATTTTACTCATATCATATGATGAAAATAATCTTATTTGATTAGGTTACAAAATGATATGTAATAAGATGGATACGTATCCAAAAGCAGGCAACGTATCTTCAACACATATTACTGGAAATAGTTGCAAGTCGTCACTAGACATCAAGTGACTTGCTTACTCATTTGTAGTCTTTTTGTAAAAAACCTTAACGCTTAAGAGCGGGCACACACGTGACTAAACTATCGCACTGATGTACGATTGTCGAGTGTTTCGCAGCCCATTCAACTTTTTAGTTGCATCACTAAAATCGAGTAGTATACGCACCTCCATATAAGCTCATAGAAATCAAAGGGCAACTAAATAGTACTTTAGTTAAAGGTGTGCGGGCGCTCTAAAGGGTTATGGTATAACCGTACTAAGTGAAACACGGGTAGGTAAAGATACCACTGCGTAAACTCGACTCTTACAATCATAAATAATATTTTATCAAATCGTAATATTTAATGTACCCTAATAAATAGCTCAAGGTAGATATGTAAGATTAACGGTTAATTAATTACTTTATCTTTATTTCAGATTCGTGCGTCGGAACCCATACCTGGATTGCATATATCATTCTGATTGAATAACAAATTGGATTGAAAACCATAAAATTTCAATCCGTGTTATTAACATTTTTAATTTCAGGGACTACATTTTTTTTAAAAATAAACTTGTAAATAATTGAAAATGCTGCAAAATTGATTTATTACTTATTAGTATAGAACGTAGATTACTTTTTACAAGATAAAGTTACATTTTAATTAAGGTCATCGGGCAGGGTGATGACGGGCGCTGGGATCACCGGGTTACCGATCACCGCGGGAGGAGCGTCTACAACAATCACGGGTTCAGCTGCCTCATCAACAACGACAACTGGTGCTGGGCCTTCTTCAGGTTTCACAACAACAGGGGAACCGACAACTTGTCCTTGTTCGTTGATGTTAATGATGATTTGTACAAGTGGTTTAGTTTGGGCAGGTGCGATTGGGTCATTGATGATAGCGGGTCCGATAGCGATGGGTTCGAAGTTATCGATGGGGGCAGGACCACCGCTGATCCCGGGGTTGATGATAGCTGGTCCGATAGAGATGGGCTCGCCTTCTGGCATGATGACGGGAGCAGGGCCGGCCGCTCCAGGCTGGACGAAGCGGTGTGCCGGGCTTGCGAACGCCGCGGCAACGAGAAGGGTGAGTACCAGGAATTTCATATTTGTTCTGGAAATCAGGATTACAATTAGAAGCTATATTACCACTTAGAACTGTTTAGTTTGTTTTAAAAATATTCAATTAAATTCAAATCGGATAAATTAAAACGATATTGTCCTGTTAAATCACTTGCAAAATAAAAAAAAACAATTTAGACATTAATAGCACGTTATGGTCAAAAAATCCAACTTATTATTTCTTCATGATTAACTACACTAGTTAACTAATTAACTAATTAACTGATGATTCACTAATTAACTACACTACACTAATAAGTAACCTAATAAAAATCACCAAACATTTCTCTATACCTTTTTTTTTTTTTTATAGTAAAAGGGGGCAAACGAGCGACGTGTACACCTAGGTGGTCATAAAGTACTATATTAAAGTACTATACAATTTATATATTTATTATGATTTAATTTTTAACGTATCATCTTTCTTTACGTACCTTTGTTGTGACTTCGAAATTTAAACAAAAGTTTTCCTACAGTTTCGCCGTTTTATACGTAATAGTATCTCCGAAAAAATTTTGTTAATACTTACAGATAATATTTACGACTTCTAATCGATAGTAATGCGATAAAAAAAGTATCCCCCGGATTAAAAGACTATCGATTAAAGATTTCCTTATTAAAATCATAACAGGACGGATTAAAACATTATTTCTGTCAATTGATAATTTCAGTGAATGAACCGAATGTACTGAAACACATGCATATGAACTAAACCACACAGAAGACAGGCGTGAAGTGGAAGTAATTCCATGTTTCGTCTGATGAGTGTGGTGCCGGAGGCCTAATTTAAGTCCCTTACTCCTTACCACCCTTTTCTCATAAGGAGAGAATGGGTAAGAGAAGTGGATTTGACAGTGTAGCAGATGCATAGGAAGGGGAAATATCCTCTTTATGTGCGTCTCCTCCTCCATCGGATAAGGGTAGGCAACGCATCTGCAATTGCGGATGTCTATGAGCAGCGGTCACTTCGCCATTTTGGCGGATTCGTGTGGCCGCTTGCTCGTTTGCCACCTTATGTTATAAAAAAAAATCGTGATATTACAATTTGATATTTCGAAATATAAAATTAATTTAAAAACAATGAATATTTTGTTACATAAAAATATTTCTTTGATAGTGTTTAATAATTATAATACTTATCCAAAACAATTGAGTAAGAAAAATAAAATTTCGTAATAAGAGAATAAGCGAGGCAGTTATAATACCTACTACATAGATTGTCAAAGATCAAGGACTCTCATTCTCATAGATGAAGGGCTCTACAGATTACACTCGTATCGAGTGAAGCTTGATTAAACTAATCAAGTAACTTGATACTGCGAAAACCAATTACTGTAGCATCGCAAAGGTTAAACTATGATACCTTTTTAGAGGAAAAACCCATAAAAGTGATTATGTAAAAATCAGATAACAGTGGGAGAGCCCGCTTTAACATCTTCGCACGAATGGGCCGGCTCGCCCGGTGTAATACCACGACCACACAGAAGACAGGCGTGAAGTGGAACCAATTCCGCGTTTCGACCGATGAGTGTGGTGCCGGAGGCCTAATTTTAGTCCCTTTCCATTTCCACCCTTTTCTTAAGAGGAGAGGATGGAAAGGAAAAGTGGATTTGATGGTGGAGGAGACGCATAGGAAGGAAAAATGTCCTCTTTATGTGCGTCTTCTCCTCCGTCAATGGAGGGTAGGCAACGCATCTGCAATTGCGGATGTCTATGGGCAGCGGTCGCTATCCATTTCGGTGAATTCAGGTGGCCGCTTGCTCGTTTGCCACCTTATATTATAAAAAAAAAAACATAAAATAATTTAAATAATCTTTACCTTTCATCGCAAACAATAAAGTGCTCCAAGTAAATAATCTAGAATATTTAATAATAAATCATTCACAAAAAATTTTAAAAGATTTATTAAAAGGAACAGAACACCGGATATTATTGTCGGCGCGGGCCGGCCGGCGCTAGTCATATTAAAACCGGCTTTCATTTCCGGTGCACGCGTCACTAACGATCCCTCGCTGATTGCAGTCATTGCAGTCGCAGTCGTCAGCCACCAGCCGCTTAACAACGACGTAATGACCGCTGAACGTGACAACACTCCATTTTCATCTTAATAATTTTCATCTGTAACTCCAAGGACAATTTAAATTTTTATCTTCGTTACGATTTACGATCGAAATTAGATTGTCATTTTAAATTCAAACATTCCATTGTTTTTATTGTCACCCTAACTTAGGGTAGGCTCCGAGCCCCTCAGTGGGGAGGTATAGAGAGCTGGTGATGATGATAATTGTTTTTACTTAATTTTAAATGTATCAGATTTCATGTTTATTTCTTCGTAAAATTCCCTTAAAGGGTATAAAATTTTCATTTAATAATTCTACAGATAAAAAAAACTGCTTTCTTGGAACCTTTCAGAATTGAAAAGCTTTCCTCCATTCCATCGAACGTTAATTTATTAACATTAAACTCCTTTCTATTTATTTTACATTACTTTCGCTACGAGATTTTCATAGACAGTTTTTACAAAACCTTTTACTAAATCAATTATGAATGAAAATTAAAATCATTTGAAAGAATGCCTAACAAACTTTAATAAAAAAATGTATCGTAGATATGTTCAAACAATAACTAAAATCGGTGTGAAATATCATAAAATGTCTACATGTAGATCTCTTTGACACGCTTTGACACACTTAATAAAGTCGTGGAATTAGAGTCATGCCGAGAAAACATTTTTCAAACTACTTTGTAAACGGTTTCATTGAAAACTACTGTGAAGTTTAAAGTTCATAGACAAACAGTGTACGAAAACATTTGCGACGTTTTCCATACTTTTGCAACTAGACTATGGAAGTATTACAACTAGAAATGCTAATGAAGACTAGGGTTATGTAATTTTATTAAAAAAACTATCAATGTAACGCAGTATGTTATTAAAAATTACCATTATAGTGTAGTGTTGTAGAATATTGACTGAATTGTTTTAATACAGGGCACTTACACTGCCTAATACATGTGTAGAAACATATCATCGTCCCTTTCCTTTTCTCTTGAGTAACAAAAATAATATAATGTTTTTATACAGGTGATTTGGGAATTCACTAATTATTATGTACTCTGTGTTTCTTTATGGTCATAATCTTGTCATAGATTTTCATTGTACTGGGTTTGCGTGATTTATTTTTCCATTTATTTGGTTGTGGAAAATGTTAGACTTTTTCTACTCTTAGAAACCTGAACGTCGCTTCGGAAATTATTAGCGCGATACGATTTCTTCACACTTTCTGATCTGGAAACTTTTGTAAGCTGAAAATACAAAGATTTTTATAAGTAATAATATAAACAAATGTGTATATATGTTGCGAAAGTCATTATTCCAAATAGTTCAAATGTAGAATTAAACTAATAATTGACCTCTTAAAAATTACCTAACGAAAGATTTCGTGTCTGTATTTCATTACTAATTAATCTATGATCCCACATGTACAGTCAACAACAACTAGCTAACACATAGTTAGTATCAAATTACCAGTCATGACAGAGGAGACGACTGTACCATTTCGTGTTATCACAATCCGCGTCACACATGATCGGGCTCAACTTTGTTGCGGTGAATCGTGCGCTAAAGCGAACCTTTGTAGTTAAGGCTTTTGTGAAGCGGTTGAAGCGCTTTATTTATTCATAGATTAAGCGCTTTGCTATAACGTTTAAATATGATTCGCGTTTCGCTATACAAACGGGATTATGTCAGCGTAGCGGCACTGAACTGATGTTATAACAAATCATTGCAATTTGTTAATAGATTTTCAGCTATTCTATAATATTTAAAGAGGGCGTACGTTTGAATAAACTATCGCACAATAGTTCTGGATTTAAAACCTTTCAAAATTTAAATGTGTTTTTGTAACTGAAGATTTTAAACTCAACCAGAAAGTGACTTACAATATGAGACAATAGTCGCAAATCACGAATACAGCTTTCAGAACACGAGAACATTTAAGTTGAAAAGATGTAAAATGCAACGTCTAGATTAGAGAGTGCGGGGGAGGCAAATCCAATTAAGAAATACTGTAGCTCTCGTAAGACAAACGTTAGCGAGGTCTATTCAGCGGGGCAGGGGGTCCTGAGGGAATGAGCCTTGTTTAATCACTGGAGGGGAGGCTTTTTGTCTGCGCGGATATATGACGACTTCAAAATTGTATTTCAAAAATTTCAATGAGAAAATTTCAAAATGTAATATCGCAACAATGTTTATCCTATGCTTCTGAATGTGTTTTTGCTTTTTAGTACAGGGAAGAAGATAAATGAACTTTGGTATAACAAAATGCCTATGCGGTCGTGCTGGTGATGGCTACTTAAATATATTATTAGTACACTAGCTGTTCCCGTGCGGCTTCATCCGCATGAAATTATGAAAATTTTATTTCATTGTTTACATTTGACAAATTATCAATAGCAAATGTCAAAATGACATGACACGACAAACCTTAGCAATCCTACTTTCTTGATGTTGGCGGCAACTTAAGGTCTCTATCCCACATTAGGGTTTTTATCCAAAATATTTACTCCCTAAGTTTAATGATGTGAAAATATATAGCCTAAAGCGCGACGTAAGTGTAGGGCTTTTAATTAAAAAATAATTATTCAAAAATGTGTTGTAATTGCTGACATCTTAGGCAACAAAGAAGTGTGTGTTTACGCTGTAATATAATAGTATAGAAGTATAGATTGACAGTGTTTTGTTTCATAATTTATATGGTTGACCAACAAGTTGAACAATGTTTCAACTAAGAATTGAAATCAGAATCCGCGTGTTTTAAAACAGTCTGAATTACTTATAATTCAAGCAATGCTATCGTATCGTTTCGACCAAACTATTTAAACGATGAAATACAATTGGCGACTTGAAATTGAAACCAGCGGGATAACAATATACTTGTGAACTCCCGGTATCCGGACCTCTGCTACAATATTTCAACAATTCCACTCCGAATTCTAATTGTAAACCGAGCTACGTGGATTTTAGGTATTTCAATAGATAACCTAGATTGGTCACTGTATAGATTTCAATGATATACGTAGCTACAAATGAAGACTGACTGTAACAACGTTTAAATGTATTCAGAGGCCCAATTTTCAATCATAAAGTTATTTGAGTATATTATAGTGTACTAGCTTTGTCCAAGCGTCGCTCCGTGCGAAATTTCAAGAAAAACTAAGTACCCAACCTATTTGTTATTCCAGACGGTTCTACGTCTTTGTCAAACATCCATTGCGTCATTCCAGAGATTAGAAAATATCTCTAACTTGGCGTGTCTATAAAAGCCATAATTACAATTATGTGCATTAAAATATCATTTTAAAACATATACAGGCGGAATTAATGTACAAAATAAGTAAATGTGTTTACATATGCAGCATTTTAGCCCCCATTATCATAACGAGGGCTAATGTGCGCACGGTTATGGCTACATGGCTTAGTATGCCGCCATTCCCTTCGTCAACGACTCTACGAACGGATTAGGGAACATCGTACTTACCGAGATAATTAGAAGACTTGAGTACAGTACACATTACGAAGATCTTTACACAATAAGTCATTAAAAAACTTACAGGTTACCTTAATGATAAGTGAAAATCTTGCTTCATGTAAGAGAATTTTGTTTGGGATTTGGTAGAACTCTGAGTAATAGGAATCTTTGATACTGGCTGAAATTAAAAACGCTTTTATGAAACAGTAGAAAGTTCTAGCATGATTAAATGAAGACATGGTGACAGGTAACTTTTAGAAATTCTTGGTATTTTCATCCTCGTCAAAATTCGGACACACTAAGCTTTAGGGGAACTGAGTCTTGTACCTCAAAAGGGATTAAAAATATCTTATCACTTACAAATGTAATAATTTTAAATACGGTACAGAATTGTTTTATGTCATATAAAACTTTTTAAAAGGCATTTACATCTGTAACTAATTGTAAATTGAGTGTAATAAAGTCACTTTTTCACTACATTATATCCAGACACGCAATAACCGTAAAGTAAGCTAAACACACTCATATATCTTTCACGATAATATCAAGTACATTATTATTTACTTTTTTGTTATAAAACTGCCTTTTTAACAATATTATGTTTATCAGGCTATCCCTAATAAACACATTGTCCTGAACGTAATAGTGACTATTATGAACTGAAAAGTTTCGAGTTGTATTCAGAGACTTAAAAAAATTGTTTTCTCTAATAAAGTTATTCGTTCTATTTATTGGATGAAACATCTAAAATTATTCCTTAATTACGATATACTAATTAAGGCATATTTATCGTTTCGTTGCGTTATAACTCAATATTGATGACAAATTAATGCGGTGTAATTTATGGTTACCATTTGTCTTGATTATATCGATATTATAATCTGAGCAATATATTTAAACAAATAAACATTACTATAAAAATACTCGTATAATCCGTAATTTTAAAAAAAATTAATAAGATTTCCGAACTTGGCGTAATGAATAGCTTGTGCCAGTTCCTCAAATTAAAAAAAAATGAATACATGAACGAATCTAAGAATGCTGTTTTTTAGTTCGTTTATAAAATGCAACAGCAACACAGTTCATTCATCCGTTCTCCAGTGAACGAACGTAAATTCCCATTTGATAAGATCTGTGCAGGATTTACGCGCGGTTTTGCGGCGTATCGTATTCCCACCGAATTTATTCCTGCAGAAGCATTGCAGCGGGCATGAAGCGTATTAGAACTACATTTTTATGCGTCTCCGAAGAAATCTTGACTCGATTACAATGAAATATTTGAAGAGTTTCAGTGGATTTAAATTTAAACGTTCAGATAGAGAAATTATTTTTAAATCTGGAACATAAAACTTTTGATGTAACAATTTGATTCAATAAAGATTACTTATAAAACTTTTCTTTTATTTCTCTCTTGAGTAATAATTTTTTTCTTTGATTACTTTTCGCCTATAAGAGTGTCACGTTTATTCTGTACATGTTCCGTACGTGACAATAACGTCCCCAGCTTGTTATCTTACAATTATTTAATTTGAATAAAATCCCACACGTTTTATATCGATTTATGAGCAAAAAAAAGAACCTGCGATATTCATTACAAGAATAAACAGACATAATTTAGTTTAGGCCTATTTGGCGAAAGTTATTGCGAGAAAGAAAAGTTTTATTAAATGTCTAGGTTGAGTTATCGTAGTATTACCTACTTTGAAATAATAATATAATTGTAACAACGTTAGTATCGACTCCAGCCAGAATGGCGCACTTTTTCGTACTTCTGAATGACATTGACAGATGTCATAGGGAAGGGACGTGTATGACGAAGGTGTAGTGTTGCCCCGATTTATTCTTAACACAACATATCTGTTCTAGATAATAGAACTAAGTATTAAAATGATCTAGGTTGGGTACTGTTGAACTTACTACAAATATTCGTTCTAACCATTGTAAATTAGTAAGTTATTTCAATTTGAAACTATTCGAATCTGTTATATTCGTGTTGATAAATTGACGAGATGCCCACCCACAGAGTTGTGTAAGCGGCTATAGCAAATCCATTCAACGTTGTCAACCGAAATTCCGATAGAATTAAGTTATTCCGCAGCAAAGCGATTAGCTTAAGGTCCGTTCTCGTCTATTGAATTTTGACTGCAATAACAAATGGCTGCATATTAATGATAGTTTTGAAACTCTATTCTATTTATGCGAATTGATCCAATAGTATGGCCTTTTAAATTCTGCGTTTATATCGTAGCATAGTTCAACTGTTATAACATTGAAGGAGTTATGTTTTTCAATTTCAACAATAGAAATCGAATATCGAATTCGATTATCAAAATTCGAATATCGAAAAAAATAAGCTTTGTTTTTTTTTTTTATTTAATGTCTGTATTTAAAATACGTAATAATACAATAGATTACATAATCGATAGGTATGCGTGTAATCTGTGATTGTTATCGACATCCAGGATTCAAACATGTCGGCCGGATGCTCCGCATTCCAAGATGGAGCAATCCTTTGATACGTCCGATTTAATTAATTTCTACGAAGATGCCACAACGTTTCCGTATATGTCTAGTATAGGTCGAAATAGGAATGTAGGCCATTTTTAAAGGATTTACTTAGATCTCATTTAATATATATTAAACACTTTGCTTCTAAGTGCCTCTTACAATCAGACAGATGTCAACATTCGCAAGGAATTTGGACTTTAAGCGAGATCTTATCTTTTAAGTTGTTGGTAATATATAGTTTCAGTATTCGGCCGTAACAATTGTATGTAGTACTTTAAGTTTTCTAATTGATTTTAACTTATTCTGTAATTTTTGACTTTTAAGGGCGATTCTACACTGGCGACACCAGTAAACCACAATAATATCTTGTACACTTCCATTGCCAACTCAGTTATAAAGCTTCTGATATGATTATTATATTTACTCGTAGAATTACTACATCTCTAAGTGTGAACCAATATTGTCGGTAATTAACAGTGCTTACTACATCAAATATAATAGTAACAAATAGAGTTTCGTAGGCCTTTCGCTGCCGCTATTATTGAGTTATGAGGCAATTAGACGATAAGCACAGTCATTATTGTTAAGCAGAAACTGAGAGAGGGCTCTAGGCGTGTGCTCTGTTGTGAATGCGAAAATCAACTTTATCTTCTAGGAAAACAATTTAAACAGTGTTGCTAGGGTTCAAAATCTCACTTCGATCGCCTTGATACTTCACCGTTTTCTTTATATTGTTTTTATAGCAACAGTCATATTTACTTTTCAAACGCAAAAAGAGAAAAACAAAAAGAAAGTCTCGGGAAATAATTTTATGATAATTTTATACGAAATGGCTTTTAGTATAACATTTGTCGAATCATCACCACGATTCATTTTTATTGTCGACGCTATAAAAAGCAATAAATAGACGTCATCTTTACCCTGAAAAATGTATTCAAGGTTTTTTATAATATTTCCCATATTCATGGCAAGTAAACAAACAACGTACGAATCGCTGTATTTGTGCCGGATATGTATAATAGATAAAATAAAATATCAACTACTTTTGTAATAAACTGTAGCAAACACGTATTTTCACCGACCTTACCGTCCGTTTGCTGGTAATATACAAACAGGCGCTTTTGCGCTGAACAAAAAACGGTAAAGAGGGATATGCATTTACTTACGTTATATTTTTTTTCATAACGTCATAATCAACCGATTGAAAACATTACACGAATTAAAGTTTATACATTTTTTGTGTTTGCTCTCAAAAAATATTAGATTAGTGGCGTATTCTACGGTGGCCTTTAATAATTGAAGACCCACTTTGATAAAACGTTACTCAGCGAGGTTATGGTAAATATAAAATTATTTTACTTAATAGTGGGAACTTTAATGTTACGAATTTAAAAAAATGAATAACGTATAAAACGTTCGAAAACGAGATTAAAAATAAAATTTTAACTTTTTTAGCGGTAATTTATAATTATACAATTGCCTTAGTGAAAACGAGTATTTTCTTTAATTTTACATCAAGCAATGGATTTTACAAGTAATCTTTAATAAAATTTAAGTATAATGATTTCAAAACATACTTTTTGCATAGTCTGTGACGAGTTGTTTCAGAACGAATGCGCTTCGTAACTGTCTCATTGACAATTTGAAGTTGAATTGATAAACAAACTTTGGTTGTGGTTGTGGTATAGTGGGCGTTGCCACACTTTGTGTTGATAATTCATTGATTTTATAACTGATAAACCTTACTTTGTGTGTGACATGCTTTGAGATAACAATGTGGGTCTTTTGTGATAAAAATTCACTATTGTTGTCGATAATGAATCACACGGTTTTGTGAAAAAATAACTTCTACATATTCATCAATTTTACAATGAAATATTAAGTTTATAAGTTTAAAACTATCTTTTATTTATACGAAAAGTTATTTGAAATCAGTTATAATTCATCAGATTTTAAAATTTCGGGTCTTAATCGTTACTCAATGTTTATGCATTTATGTGGCTTCCTGTACATCAAAGATCTGATTCACGTATGAAAAATGTTGAAAAACGCTTTTATAATTTTATTTTTGTGTTTCGACATCAATTGCCAATCAAACAAAGATCTATACACTGGCCAATATAATACAAGGCCTGATGGCTCTGAATCAAGACTTCCAAAACCTGGTGACAATAATTATAGAACATATTTGTACAACAATAGAAGATATGGTGCGGACCCAAGTCGATACAACCCATACAATCCAAACATCAATCAGCCAGGTGGATTTCCATACAATCCATTGAACACCAATCCATTAGATGATCAGTTTAAGTACAACACGGTAAGCAGTTAAGCTCTCTCTATCTCCCTCTTGTATCAATACAGAGGTTAACTTTACTGATAACCTGACCGTAATTTAAACAACCAAAATACCCAATTGAATAAATATGCATGAACATACATGAAAACATAAAAAAATATTAATGAAAAAAAGTTGTCATGGCAAATGAGATTCAAACTCGGATAAAAATATAACACAGTAAGAATCTAATAAGACAGAGACATAGCCACTAGTTATAATAATCAAATGTTTTCATTTTTATATCAATTTTATGTATGATTTGTTAACTAAGACCCCCATGTCTTATAGTCAAGTTATATGGTTCAATTATCCCCCAGATTTACAAATTCCCAAGTCATGTAATAAATATCAACAAACTCTTACATTTATAATCTATACTAATATAAAAAGGAAAGATTTGTATTTTTGTGCATATTGAAATAACTCAAAAATTAATATGCCGATTTAAAAAATTCTTACACCATTAAAGTACTGTTATCAGTGAGTACATAGGCTATATTTTTTTATTCTACTTGTATGAAGTTGCGAGTAATAATTAGTAGTACATACTTTATAATTTTTCTATTTTATTATATAGAATGTAGACCCAAATAATCCGGATGCCTTATTCCCTGGTGTTCTGGGAGGCTGGAGGGAGGACTTACAGGGGAGGGAGAGGAGAGACTCCAGACAACTGAAGAGAGACATCTTTGTTAACACTAATTATGGACAGGTTCAAGGATTTAAGGTAAGAAAATGACACCTAATTTTGTCAAACTATGTTTTGCATGTAACTCCGACCAGGTGGAATTAAAAAACTTAATAAGTACTGTGTTCATTGAGATCTTTTCCGACATTTAGGTGGCAAACTCTAACAAACATCTCTCTATCTAAACATTTGCATTTATAATATTAGTAAGCAAGATTACTCTATCAAAATTCTCACTATTAAATCTACATAGAAGTCTTTATAATGTTACATAGCCTGAAAACAAACTGCTTGGACAAATGTTAACAAGGATTAGACTGATATACAATTTATTCAACAAAAACAACAAATCATACTTCATACTAATATTATAAATGCGAAAATTTAGATGGATGGATGTTTGTTAGAGTTTGTAGCCTAAACGGCTGAACGCATATTGATGAAATTTGGCATAAATGTAAAGGATATCCTGAAGAACACATAGGCTACTTGTATTTGTTTTTTTTTTTCTTAGCGGATATAGTCGCGGGCGAAAGGTAGTCAATCAATATTTATAGACTTTCTAAAGATTGGAATGTGGAAGGAAATATGTAATGTTCATACCATGTTAGGAAAATTTAAAACAACATTAACAATGTTAGCTATTTTACTAAACAGTACATTAGTTAAGTGACTGTAAAATAAATATTTTTGTTTTCAATGTCCAAGTCTCGGGTTCAATTTTATTTTTGCCTTTACTCACTGTGCCCCCAAAATTAAAAAAAAAAACAAAAATGAGTAGCCTGTGTGTTCTCCGAGATGTTCTACACCTCTGCCAAATTTCATTCACATTTTAACATCCATCCATCCATGTAAACTTCCACACATATATTTTAGTAAGTATAGTGTCATGAAATGTTAGAAAAGCACACATTAGATCACTTAAACAATACTTTTCAGGTATATTTGTATGATAATCCTGACCCCAACTCTGGTTACCGACCATGGTTGACACCTGTGGAGAGGATACAGGGAGAAGTGTCAGTATTTCTGGGTATACCTTATGCTAGACCTCCTGTCTTGGAAGGTAGATTTAAGGTAAGCTTTTATTAAATGTGGTTAATTTTTACTACCAGAAAAAAAGTAAAAAAAACGTCTATGGCTTTTTATTAACAGTAGAGAGTGGAAAGTTATTTATTAGAGTATTTTATTAGAGTAATATACGCGTGTGTATACGATACACTGTTATATTTATTATATATTTTTTATGATATTGATTATACATTTTGGATTTAAAACTGTCTTTTTTTAACCGAATTTAAAAGGAGGTACTCAATTCGATCATTTATTTACATAGATAACTCTACGATTTCAAACCCCATTTACGTGATTCTTAATTTTCTTTGATGTGGTATAGGTGTTGATTTCATTATCAAAACAAAAACTACCCGGTAGTTTTTGAGTTTTTTAATGAAGTCGGTTTTGGTTTTTTGTTAAATATTTGGTATGGCTTTGTATAACACGAAGTTTTCGTGCAGCCGCCGCGCCAGCACCCCGGCTGGCAGCTGCTACAGGCGGTGGACTGGGGCCCGGCGTGCCCGCAGCCAGTGAGGCACACCGGCGCTACCAAAGGCATCCGAGATATGGATGAAGACTGTCTATATCTCAATATATTTTCACCAAATGTAAGTATGAAGTTATTATTTACTAGCTTTGGTCCGCGACTCAGTTCGCATGGAATAAAAAAAAATGCAAGTATCCTATGTGTTCTTCCAGACTTATGTGCCAAATTTAATCGAGACCCATTCATTTGTTTACGCTACAAACTCTAATAAACATCCATCCATCTATACTTTCGCATTTATAATATTAGTAAGAAGATTTTACTTGATGATCATTATTAAGAAAATGTACAGCAAGTATTGAAGTAGGCATGAAGACAGGAACATTGTTATTATAATATAAATCCATATAGAATTATGTCATTTACATAAATAATGTATGTTGCCATACTGAAATAATTTAAAAGTACTAATACAACGAAATTTTTTATTTATTTGTTTATATCTACGGTAGGCTATTACTTAAATTTTGGGGTCAATAAAAAAAACTAGATAAAAACATATTCTTCTACTGTTGTTACTGTTGTTGTTATTTTTCGATGTATGTCGTGTAAACCTATAATTAGGACAAATTATCTTCATGTTACTTATTGTATTGTGTAAAAATGTCTGTGTCATAATTTTGTCCTGTTGGTTTATCTTAATAAATAAATAAACATTGTGAAGGATGGATTTTTGTAAGCATTGAAATATCTCAAAAACTACTGAGCTGATTTCAAAACTTCTTTCACCATTAAAAAGCTACGTTATCAGTGAGTAAAATAGGCTAAAATATTCTCGCGGACAATGTCGCGAGCAAAAACTAGTATATACAATTTATAACAGATAATTATGATATTACCAATTCTGTATATCAATTTCATAACGCACTGGTCGCGGTTTAGATATTGGGTCGCTGATTATAATACGCTATTTGAATTGCGGTTTTACGTAACATTACCCACATTTAATATGAAATAGCTACTAATGTATCAAATTTACATGTACAAATGTCTGTTATATTTCCTATCTCTGTCTCCCTTATTGAAATGAGACAAGGAGAAAACATCGCTTATTATAACTTGGAATATCTGAAGTCCCGATTAATTTCGCTCTCTACAATGATTAAAAACAAAGCAACATATGCTATTGAGAATTCAATCTTATCTTAAAGTGTTAAGTTAGAAATTCATTCGGCAATTATGTCTAATTGAGATTAATACTGATGCAGCTGGCTTTGCAAATTGAATCAATTACCGAGATGACGAATTATCGTGTCGTTGACCCGAAGTCTTAGTTTAAAACGTAAGCGATGTTAACTGGTTATATTACCCTTACATTCAATGACCACTTCTAACACACCAATACTTAAAAAATAAATATACACCCGTAATCCAGGTTCCTGATTAAAAAATGCGTCAGGGGGACGATATTGTGGCATTAAGCCGCCAAAAAAACAACATTAAAAAACCCTTCCTCGTTCGTTTACTCGTGACGTCATGTGTCCGACGGCAAAGTTTCTTGTACAAGTAATACATATAATAATAAGCCATAACCCAGTAAAAACATATTGAATGTGTACAATTTTGCATTGATTTATTTCATCAACGAGTAATGTAGCACAGTCATGCTCGACCGATTTACAAACGCATGTATTTTACTAGCATTTATAATTGCTTAAAAATACATAAGTGAAAGTGGACACTTATGGCTGTTTTTTAAATTTCCAGACAGAAGCAGGAGCAACCGCTCAGAAATACCCAGTAATGGTATACATCCATGGTGGTCAGTTCTCATCAGGCGCCTCTAACTTGTTCCCCGCGCACATGCTGGCGGGATTCTACAATGTTGTTGTTGTCTCGCTCAACTACAGGCTCGGCGCGCTAGGTAATATAGTGCTATCTCTTTCTCCACTGCTTGCGTTTGTTTAGAGACTACTGGACCGATTTCAAAAATTCCTTCACCATTAACAAGCTACGTTACTCGTACTACTGAGTAACACGTTATTATTAATTACACGTGGACGAAGTCGCGTGTACAGCTAGTCTATACTAATATTATAAAGAGGTAATGTTTGTATTTTTATATGTATTTGATTCACGCAAAAACTACTGGCTTGTTTTAAAAATTCTTTCACCATGAAAAAGGTAATTAATCTGTGAGTAACACAGGCTGTAATTCATAAGCGAAATCTACTATAAAATGAATACTAGGTTTCCTGTCCACGGGTGATGAGAACTCCCCTGGGAACTACGGAATGCTGGACCAGGTGATGGCGCTGCGCTGGGTGAGGGATAACATCGAGCCGTTCAATGGAGACCAGCATTCCATCACTGTGTTCGGAGCTGGCGCGGGCGCGGCCGCCGCTGGACTGCTGGCACTCGCGCCGCAGACTAGCAACATCGTCTCTAGAGTTATTGCACAGGTATACTAACTCTGTCTAACTTACTGTGTTCTTATATTTCTATCTCTTTCTGATTTTATAAAGCTTGGAGATGTCGTTGGTGCGGAATTAAAAATACAATTAATTTGTGTTTTACAAAAAATGTAATTAAACTTGGAAATATTAATATGATAAAGTAAATTTGAACATTTTAAAATTTACAGGAAATTTTATTTATGTTGCATATTTCGAAAATCTATAAATTTTGCCTTTGATAAATGTATAAAAGGTACACAAAGGCATGTAATTTTACACATGAGTATTTTTTCCTACATTGTAATTGAAGTTTGTAAAATGTATTCTTTACTATGTACTTTAAGTCACAAGCAATAAGGTTCATTATCAATTACAATGCTACCAGGACGAGATAAAACTTGTAGCGAATTTTAATTTTGTACTCTAAGTGACATGTAACAAGGTTCATTATCGATTACGATACCTGATTGTTTAAAAGTTGTCCAATTCTGGACTGTAAGATGTATGCAACAAGGTGTATTGTCCAGAGCGGGTCTGCGCTGGCGGACTGGGCGCTGATCGAGGACAAGTTCCGGGTGCAGAACACCTCGCTGGTGTTCGGGCGGCTGCTGGGCTGCCCCACTGACTCCTCCTGGAAGCTGGTCAACTGCCTCCGCCAGGGCAGGAGCTTCTATGAGCTGGGGAATGCCGAATTTCAGGTATCGCAGAGCTTTTAATATTTATACTTAAGCAGTGGAAAAAACGAACTTTTCATACCTTGATTCTAATTTCACACGGTTTTAATAAATTATGACTGAAACATGTTTTAAAGTCACAGTTAAACTGTTCAGGTCGTCTTACTTTGTACTAATGTTATAAACTAGTTTTTGCCCGCGACTCAGACCGTGTGTAATTAAAAAAATAAGTTGCTTATATATTCTTCCAGACTATCCTAAGATCTACAAAAAGTTTTATCGAGATCCGTTCAGCCGTTTAGGCTACAAATTCTAATTAACATCCATCCACCTAAACATTCGCTTTTATAATGTTAGTAGGAAGCGAAATTTTAGTTGTATGGATGATTGGTTAGAGTTTGTAAATTTGGCATATATTTAGGAGATAATCTGGAAAAACACAAAGGCTACTTAGTATTTTTATTTAATACCACGCGGATGCATACGCGGTCAAAATTTAGTTTTTCATATAAAATTAATGTTCCAGCCTCAAGTAGGCTTCATCCCTTGGGGTCCAGTCCTGGAAAACAACTTCACGTACCCTGGAGACGAGTGGTACGAGGGCTGGCGCGCGCGCGACTGGACCTTCCTGCAGACCAAGCCTGAGGACCTGATCGCCGCCAGGACCTTCAACCCTGCACTTAGATACATGACTGGGGTCACCACGCAGGAAGCCGCTTATGTCCTATGTAAGTTACTCTAAGTTAGTAGAATAATAGGATAAAATAACTTTTTTATCTCAGAATGATAAGTGGCCACGCCTCATTTTTGCATTGTTTACGACTATCACAAAATCTTAGTTAGTCTTTGTTAGTCTTTGCTCCCCTTTATCATATCAATTAGTATTTTTCTATGATTTTTAATAAGTCAAGATCATTGACCTTCACATTCTTACATTTTTTATGTTCTTAAACTCGCCGAAATAGCGAAGCGACTGCTGCTCACGTATCCTCAGATGCGTTGCTTACTCTTATTAGGAGGGGGAATGCATAAAGAGGATGTTCAAATCCAATTTAATTTTACATAATTTCCTTACAAGAAAAGGGTGGGTAGAGTGACAAAGAAGAGACTACTCTTCATACTCTTCCCTCACCGTAGTCATCAGAGTTAAGACTGACTTACATGCACTTGCCGTCTTCTATCTGATCGTGGTATATTATATTTAGTGGTGTTGTGCTCAATGTTATATTTTCTTGTACAGACAACAACGAGAGCTTAGCACCAGGGTACGAGATCAGCGAGCAGTGGTTCGACCAGAAGGTGCGGGAGCTGGTGCTGCGGTACAACTACACGCTGAACCCGCGCGGGGTGTACGACGCACTGCGCTACATGTACACTTACCATCCTGACCCTCATAACACTGATGCTATACGAGATCAGTATGTTCAAGTAAGTAAAACCCCCCACCCCAATACACCTCCCTCTCCCACCACGACTTCGTCCGCGTGATAATAAAAAAAAACTACATCGATGCCAAATTTCATGAAGAACCGTTCAGTCGTTTATCGTTAGAAGATACCCCTAACTCCAACATACAGACATATACTTTTTCGCATTAATACAAAACAAAAATGTAATATGGTAGCTACTTTTTTTATAAGAAAAACTCAAAAACTATAGTAGTTTTTAATTTAAAATAAAAGGCACCAAACGGTGGTTATTACACATCAAACTAGAAAAGAAAAGTAAATCGGATTATAAATCTGAAAATTTGCATAAAAACAGAGCGAATTCAGAACCCCCCTTTTTTAAAAAAACATTTAAAAAGTTAAGATGAATTTGTTATAACTAATTTCCGTGTATATTACAGTTACTCTCGGATTTCCTGTACCGCGCGCCGACCGACAAGCTGGTGAAGCTGGTGCTGGAGCAGCAGGTGCCGGTGTACATGTACGTGCTGAACACCACCGTGGAGAGCTACCGCGCGGCGCCGTGGCGGCAGTACGCGCACGGCACGGAGCACCCCTTCCTCGCCGGAGCGCCCTTCATGGACCAGGAGTTCTTCCCGCGCCGCCTGCGGGTGGAGCGCCAGGCCTGGACGCCCAATGATAGGAATATGAGCCACTTCTTCATGAAGGCGTACTCGGACTTCGCTAGATTTGGGTAATTTATTGAGAGAAATAAACTAGCTAAGAAGGGTACCCTTTTTATGCCGCTCTTCAACTATCAAATCCATTTTTTTTTTTAATTTTTTTTATAACAATAGGTGGGAAGGGAAATTGATTCAAATTAGGAGTGTTAAACCTAGGGTGCTGGGAATATTTATATTTTCTTTTATTAATGAAAATGTTTTTTTAAACATAAAATATAACAAATTCATTAAACCAAATTTATAAATTGCTTATGCTATATGTTCTTTAAACATACAATCAAACAAAATTCAGAAAATTTCAAATTATTTATTAATTTACTTATAAACAGTTAAAATACAATAAAAAACATAAGTAAAATTGTGATAAGTGATTAAAACAATAACGTGTAATTTTGTACATTTTAGGAACCCTACGCGTTCCCGTATCCTGGGCGTGCACTTCGAGGTGGCGCAGGCCGGCCAGCTGCGCTACCTCAACCTCAACACCACCTTCAACTCCTCCATACAACTCAACTACCGCCAGACGGAGCTCGCCTTCTGGACCGTCTACCTGCCCACTGTCATAGGGCGGATGGTGCCTACCTATCCACCTATCACTGAGGTAACCACCAGGATTCGCCAAAATAGCGAAGCGCACATTTTTTGATGCCTTTAATCAACTGAGGGAAAAAAATAAAATATTCCACCTACGCGTCTCAAGGAATAGTCTCAAAAAAATCCTTATTTTTTTGAGACTATTCCTTCCCTTGAAGTGGATTAAGCACGGCATAGGTTAAGAAGTTTTTTTTTTTTTACGTTCTTTCTGTGTGTTTCTGTTGAGAATGATTGAGAAATAGGGAAAAAATAAAAATCACCTCGGGGACATGAACACTATATTTTTCACTTGGCAGAGTAAAAGTTATAATGAACGAATATAGATTAAAAAACAAAAACCCTTGAATGCTTAATTTTTTTAACTTTTAAAAAAAATGGTATTTAATGTAAGATCCGTATAATAAAGGAAAAATAGTAAATAAACATAGCACCCAAATTGATATTTTTTGTAAAATTAATAAAAACAGTGAGGTATATTGTTGGTATGGTTGTTGTGTGCAGTACTGGTGGGAGCCGCGCCAGCCGCTGCAGATCGCCTTCTGGTCGGTGGCGGCGGCCTGCCTGCTGCAGCTCGTGCTGCTCGTGCTCTGCTGCATGCTCTGGCGCAACGCCAAGAGGTATCTCCTCCACCCTTTCACACACTGCCCTCTCTACCTCCCTCTCACACACACACACACACTGCTCGTCGCTCTCTCTGTCATCCATTGGCCATTATCACCGATCTATTCTCGCTCACATATTGCTTTTTCTCTCTTATTGCTGTTTCCCTCCGTCACCCATTATGCGTTCTCTCTCTCTCACCTATTGCTTTTCTCTTACCTATTGCTTTCACCCTCTCACATATTGTACCTTTTTTCTCGTTGCTCTGCTCTCTTACTTATTGCTCCCCTTCTTTACCTATTGCTCTCAGATGTAACTCACTGTCACCGTCCGCGCTCTCTCTCTCTCTCTCTGTCTCTCCCTCCCTCCCCTTCCTCCCCCTCCCTCACCCTCCCTCCCTCCCTCCCTCCCTCCCTCCCTAAATAACAATGTTCGCTTTTTTTCACTTTATTGCTATCTCTCACCCATGACTTTTCTAATTTACATGTCAATAATTATTCCAAGTCCGACAAAATAACGTGCTATTCTCATATAATGAGTTTTAATTGAACTAATTATTTTAATATTTTATTGTTCTTTATAAAGCAAATCGATTAACATTACTAACTACTAATACTAGTAAAATGTCATTACTAACCGATTAACATTGCAGGGCTGCTCCTCCCAAATGGAAAATGGTACCCGCCGTGTAGGTGAACGACATATTTATTTGTACTGAATGTCGCTTTTACTTGCTTATGTGTGTGTTGCAAAATATTATCATTTCTGCAATGTAAACCTACTTTTATATAAATAAATAAAAAAACTACCATGCGTAGACCCTAAATAGCTGTAGATAGAGTAAATAGTTTTAATATCTTTACCTAGATTATTTATGTGATCTTTAAGGAGTTCTCTTCGTTTCAATATTCGGCCGTTAAACTATTCATGCAATCATTAAATAATTTTGACAATAAACTATTTAAAAACCAAACCTACTGGGCTTTGATATGCAGCATTAAAAAGCTACACGTAATCGCTGATTAACTTGGTACTTTTATTATATTTTTTGATATGTAGCAGCCGAAGTCGCGAGCTACTTGTAGTATTAAATGTATTATGATACAGGGAAAGTGATCGATTATACGAGGGTGATATCTTCATGGTGCCGGAGCTGGGCGATGGCGGCATAGAGAACGCCAGCGCGCGCTCGCGGGACAACGTGTACGAGTACCGCGACGTGCCCGTCAAGAGGCCGCACACGCCGCACACGCCGCAGACACTCACACGCACGGTTACTTCACATTTATATAGTAACTAACCGTTACCCGCGAATTCCTCCACGCAATATAAAGATATAAAATAGCCTATTGTTATAAATTTCGATATGAATTACTTTTTAAAAAATATATGACAGTCGAGCGGTAATATGAGCAATACTGGTGAATTATTATAAAACGAATACATTAAAGCAAGGCAAGGCGTAAAAGATATCGAACGTTCCATGATGACGACCAGAAATGTACTGAGCTACTGAGCTCCTGAAGCAACTGAGGTACTGACGGCTCGAGAGCTTGTTAGCGACTGAGTGACGTCTGAGCGTCTGAGAGCGCCTCACTCCTTGCAAAGACTTTTATAAAGCTACCCCCCCACTACTACTTCCGTTTCTATTATTTTGTAACACTATAATATGCCACCCTTTAGTGAAAGTCGAAAGCGGCCCAGTCGCAAACGAGGCTTGCGGACAGACAGACAAAAGAATTTTAAATGTGATCTTCGTTATCAGCAACTATATATCATCTCGAAATCTGGAATTTTTCTTTTGATGTTACAGTCACTCCAATTTTATTATATGTATAGACTAGCTTTCACCCGCGACTCCGTCCGCGTGGAATTAAAAAAAAAACAAAAAAGTGTAGCCTATGTGTTCTTCCAGACTATCCTCCACATCTATACCAAATTTCATCGAAATCCGTTCAGCCGTTTAAGCTACAAACTCTAACAAACATCCATCCATCCATCCATCTATCTAAACTTTCGCATTTATAATATTAGTAAGATTAAAATAAATCCCACAGATAAGTCAACCGATTACATTACAATCATCGCGTCCACCATCGGAGGCTTCAACAGGGTCTGCGTTATCTCTGAAGGAGGGCGTGGTGTCGCGCGACCCCGCCCCGCGCCCCGCGCTGCCCGCCCCCGCGCCCCGCGCGCGCTCTCGCACGCATCTGGTGCACGGCGTGCCGCAGACCACGGTGTGACCATTTTATACCTTAATGTCTAACCAATAAGGTATTATTTACACTGACACGTACTATGTGACAGTTGTATGGACTGTGTTGTCGATTGAACCTTATTTGTTTATGCGTAAAGTTAAAAATGATTTTGTATTTTATCTGCATATGAATAAGGTTGTTGTAAAGAAGGAAACTGCCATTTTTTATGAATTAAAAATGTTTTAAAAATATTTGATTTCATATATGTTTACTGTGCGGTAAATGTAGAGGATGTTTCAAATTTCTTACTAGATACTTTTTTTAGTGTATTAGGTGCTGTCTAATTATAACGATTTTAGGATTTATCGCATTGTAAAACTTTATTTCCATTATTTATATTAAGCACGAACAACTACGTTATAATTAAGGTTACAAAGTCTATTTAATTATTAAATAAATTAAATTGAAAATAAGAAAAAAAAATCAATACGTTTAGAAACTGATATAATTTTAGTATATTTGACAATTGCACTGATTTCTATGTTTTAAAGACATACTTAGGAATTTATTTTAGTTAAATAAAATTACCACCGTTAGGATTTTTATATTACAATGTTTACCAGTTTTATAATTTAGACTGAATTTATGTTACATTTTGAATGTTCACCCGCGTTGTGATAGGTAACAACGTTTTTTTATGTTATTTTAATGTAGAATATTAATTCTCACTTTTGTGTTAGAAAAAATTGGATTATTTAGTATTTAATTCATCTAAACATATAATTTTGTATTCAGAAATATTTTACAGACCTTAATTACAAGGTTCATATGGCAGTTGGTAATTTCCTGAACTAACAATGTCATCTAGAAAACGTTATATTTTAACAACTGAGAGCGGCACTGAGCAGGTCAATGTCGCCATTTTTATAATTTACAAATTCCAATTCGAAAATAATTATCGTATCTATACTATTATAATAAAGCGTAAACACACACTTCTTTATTGTCTAAGATGTCAGCAATTACAGCATATTTTTGAATAATTCTTCATGCTTTGGGCTATATATTTTTACGCCATTAAACTTAGGGGTAAATATTTTGGATAAAAACCCTAATGTGGGAAAGAGACCATAAGTTGCTGCCAATATCAAGAAAGTAAGATTGCTAAGGTTTTTCATGTCATGTCATTTTGACATTTGCTATTGATAATTTGACAAATGTAAACAATGAAATATTTTTTTCATAATTTCATGCGGATGAAGCCGCACGGGAACAGCTAGCTGAACTACTAGTAGTTTATACCTTTTGGGCAATTTTATACCTTTTGGGCGTTTTTGCTTAATGATAATACTGCAGGCGCCCCCTCTTTATGTCAAATTGTCAAAAGATCCTTGTAAGTCTATAAATGCCAGTGATAGCAAATAATATAACATTTATAGTATCTAAGTATCAATAAATAAGTTTGTACATTGTTATTTTAAACTCTGAATTTAATATGTTTTACATGTTTGTGATCGTCTGTCCGTCCATTTTTGTGAACTGTTTTCGTAGAATGTTTTTATACAATATTTACAATTGTAAACAACAGGTTTCTATGTTAAAAATCAATATTAAAATATTTTAAAAAAGTGTTTTATTTATTTAACCCAGTTATACCTTTCTAGCCGTTATAGTTTGTCTAAAGGTTGATTAGTTTGATTAATCACGCATATAAAATATCGAAGTATGAAGGTAAATGCCGTACTTTAGAGAAAGTACCGGTAAAAAAAAATATTTACTACCTCGTCTATATATTTTTAAATGTCTGTATGATCCACATCTATGCCTCTGAGTGTAATCTGCTAATTTGTTCTGAAGGTATGTAGTAAAAAATTCATCCATCCATCAATCTACTTTCACATTTATAGCTATTAGTAACAAACTCTTCTACATTTTACTTTAAACCAATTACCATTATCTATACTAATATAATAAAGCGCAGTATGTTACAAAGTACTCTGTGATAAAGCGTAAACACACACTTTGCTGCCTAAGATGTCAGCAATTACAGCATATTTTTGAATAATTCGTTTTTTATAAAAAGCCCTACACTTACGTCACGATTTAGGCTATATATTTTCACGCCATTAAACTTAGGGGGTAAATATTTTGGATAAAAACCCTAATGTGGACAGGAGACCATAAGTTGCTGCCAACATCAAGGAAACAAGATTGCCAAGGTTTGTTATGTCATTTTGACATTTGCTATTGATAATTTGACAAATGTAAACAATAAAATAATTTTTTTATAATTCTATGCGGATGAAGCCGCACGGGAACAGCTAGTCGAAACTAAAGATCAATGAATAAAACGCAATATACATTGGCGCAGTTTATTTGGTACATTTACAAATGTCAGGCGGCGAGCGCGCAGTGTAGCGCGCGTCGCACGCCGGCCCGCACACCTGCCGCGCCTCCACCCCGCCCAGCGCCAGCAGCCGCCCCGGGCAGTGCGTCACGTCCACCACGTAGTTAGCGCGGAGCAAACCTGCTGGATAGTTCTGCTCTACCTCCACCTCCTCCTATAAATAAGAAAATAAAACCATTAAAAAGCAATAATACGTGAGACTTCCATATCATTATGAAGGTTTTATAGATTTTCTAGATATTTAAATTGACAATTTCATCTATAATAGTGATATTTCACTATAAAGAAACAGTCAAACCATTAAAATATTAAAAAAGTGTTTATTAAAATAATAATGATTGTTCATTAAAATAATAATGATATTGGCAATATACCGGGTCTGGTTCGGGCACGGCGACTTCGCACCATGCGCGTGCGCTGCAAGCCCTCACCAGCGCGCACGGCAGCCCCGCGCGGTCCGCCAGCACCTTGTACAGCAGCGCGCGCTCCAGCGCTCCGCCGCACTTCACAAAGCCCAGCGGTATGATGTTCGAACGTAGCTCCATCTATAACAAGAACAATACTATATTTCTTCTTAGTAAAATACGTTAATATATAAATATAAGAAATATTCTAAATATTAGTTTTAAAAAACGCAGTTTAAGGTGTGGAAAAAGAACAAATGCATTTCCAATATAACTACCATGATATCGGCGAGGTGTATGTCGACGCAAGGTAATGAGCAGTCGCGCTCCTGAGTGAGGCCGCTCATCACCTCCGCCACGTACTCCGCCAGCAGCGACGCCTTCTGCTTCAGCGTCGACGACACCTCCGTGCACTTGTCGCGGTATCTGAACACCGGCACTCACATACAAACTGTCACCACAGACTATCATATAGATCAACGTAGAGACTACACCTCCACAAAAGCTTAGAGCGTTAAATGTATTCATTTACAGTGACATATCTGAACTTCAATATTCTGTGCTGGTGGCATGCTAAAGTGGCACTTTAACTGGATAAAAGCTTACCTAATATCATAATGTGCGTCTTCTATCTCCAGATAATGCATGGATTTAGATCTGGAATCAAACTAATTCATTGTAAACGTGATATTCCAAACTAAAACTAAACTATTTATTAACAAACTTTTACTCACGGATCACCAAACCAGATGCGCAAACGCAGCAAATAGTGACGGAGGTTTTTGTCATCTAGCAGTCGGCTGGGGAATAGGCTGCGATCAGATCTCGGTGTCGGCGAATATTCTAGAAAAGACTCAAAGATTATAACGAAATAGACCATACATTATTCAACTAATTGGGTCTTTTAATTGAATATTATTACACAGTTGATTACTAACTCGGTGTTCTCAAATCGACAGCTGAAATGCTCTCGGCATCAGAAGGTTGGAATGAGCACACAAACACTGGATATCGAGTCGGGTCGGCTATTTCCATTAGAGCACGTAATGTCGGAAAGGGGCTCGATATCCGTTTCAGTACGTAGAAACCGTCCTAATGAAACATAGGAATCATTATTTTGTTAATACTATTCTAGTAAAAAAACGAACTTCAAAAGAATTTCTTCCTTTCTCAAAATAGTATGGCTGCTATTCCGGCTTTTTCCCCAAGATAGATATATAAAAAGATCCTAAAGGTCCTCAAAGTATTGTAATTCAAATGTGTCGACATTTTTAATTAATTTAAATATTTATTTTACGATTTTCGTACGTTTGCCCCTCTAACAGTTTAGCAGTTATAATAGTCTGTTGTATGCACCCTCGTCTTATCATTGATGTCCAGTCGGCCGGTGTAGGCCAACTTGGCGGAGGGGTGTTGCTGGAATATCGCCTCCAGCGCCGGCTCCCACGCCGCCACCGCGTACCTCGCCTGCTTGTTCTCTACCATGCTGTTTTATACCACATTTTTCACTATAGTTATACACAAAGCGCCAATAGCCTTATAGTTTGGGTTACGGACTTTCGATCTTGCGGTCGAGGGTTCGAATTCCGCCATTCGACTATTGTCGTGAACTATATCTTAGCACAAGCCTAGCCCCTTGTTTGAAGTAGTTAAAGGAAATATTAGTAAATTAACAAAAAACTACTTATATTGTAATAAAAAAAATGTTATACGAAAGGAAATAACTTCTATTCACACTTCATTTTACATCGTAATCGTACTAAAATTTAAAGATATATCAAAATTTGCATCTCAAACATATAATAGTTTACATTAATGCCATCTAAATGTCGTGAAATGTCTCACCGTGATTTTCAACTGTCACAATAAATGTAATGTGTCTAAGTGACTATTGTTATTGAAGTGACTTGACTAACTAATGCACAGTGCCCAGTTCCAGGTAGACATCTGCGCCCTCGTCGGTCACGCTCACTGTAATCAGCTCGCAGAGCGCAGTGCGCAGCCCCACGTGCTCAATCAACAGGTTGTTTGATACCGCCTACAGGAAATAAACTAGCATCTATTTAAAACTTGCAAATAACATCTATATTTATTGTTAGACATATCAAACATGTTTTAAACATACTTACCTCTTCCCCTTTCCTTGCTGAGAATAATTCTTTACTAACTTCTTCTGCCATCAGACCACAGAGCGTGGTACATGTCATCATTTTCAATTTGATATCTATTCGCTGAAGGGTTTTTAACATTATTAAACGAAAACAAAACACTACTAGCATAATCATTCTAAATATAAATTCTTACTATTACATCTTTAACACTCAAATGTCTGTACGGTGTGTCCGTACATACAAATATAACGCCGTAGTTTTTTTATGTTTGTTAAGCTAGCGCTTCACTACGACCACACCTGAAGAAAGTAATGATGCTATAACTACGGCTATGATTGGTTTAACCTGTTTTTACACAAATTGTTAAACCTGCAATATATTAAGCAGCTCCTGTATAAAGTCTGCGTTGAGCATGGCGGCCAGGCTGATGTGGTAGCTCTGCAGGTTGATGTAGCACTGGACTGCAACGCGCTGTGCTTCGATTGGAGTGTCCGCCACTGCACTTAGACCATACTTCATACATACATATATATATAGAGAAAATATATCTGCTGCCATTTTATCTGCTTTTGAAAATAGAAGCAGAATTAACACGTACAGTATTTCCAACTCTCTCTTCGATAAAAATGGTAGTGGCTCTGGTGTTGATATCAAAATGTTGGAGTCTACATAACTAACCTTTCTTGTTGATATTCCTGAGCGTAGCGAATGTGCTGGGCTCCACCAGCCTGTAGGCAGCCTTGGGTATGATCCGACAGAGCTCGGCCAGTGCACGCAACGAGTTTATACGAACGAAGAACCAAGGCGCCCCGTCATCAGCCAGGATACCTTATAGATGCACTTACATAAGAAAACTCTTCTTTCCATCAAAACATGGTGTTACATTCTGAACACTGCAGTTACCACATAGAGCTTCAATGATGTTGGTGTCGGACATGCGCACAGCCGCCGGAAGTAGTTTGGTCATGTTGGCTACTCCCATCGCAGCATCCGCCAACAAGTCGGCGTTGGTGCTCATCAGCTGACTGCAGAACACCAGGTCCGTACCCGTTTGATACAGAGCCTGGGTAAATAATTTGTGGTGTAAAGCTAGAAATAATTGACTTCCAAAAGACAATTGTGCACTTTTACATTCACAGAAACGATACTTGGAAAAATTTGATGAGAAATTTTGAGAAGAATTTACTAAAAGGGCCCTTCGAGTTTGTCAGATTAATTAAACGTTAGAATGTTACATCTCTGCCATTGGAGGTGAAGGACATCTTGGTGAGGACGGCGAGGCAGTGCGACTTCATGGCGGGTAGCGCCATGTCGAGGTATGCGAGCAGCCGCAGCACACAGCCCGACTGGTACAGGTGGGAAGAATTTTCCTCCGTCTCCGCGTAGTCGCGCAACACGCCCAGCACCTCCGTATGCACATCGCGGAACTCGTACGACTATCCACATACCATTATAATGAGCAAGACTATTGTGTGATAGCGATGAGAGACAGATTTTTCAGGCAATCCTTAAGAACTTGGTTGGTTAGAAACATTGCAAAATACCATAGTTTTATTACCTATGATAGTTACTCTTATAAAGAAAAAACTTAAATCGCAAGACCATATAACACATAACAGAAATTGCACTATAATATTTAACCTCTAAAATATCACACAAGTCCAGAACTCCAGTGGAGGCTCTAAAGGTCTTCTGGACCGCGTAGTCCTTGTAGCGCCTGATAAGCTGGTCGACGGTGCGCAGCGCGGCATGCTGTATAGCCAGGTACTCGCTCTGCATCAGCGCCAACAACGAAACCCAGCTGAACTGGTTGCTCTTCGTTACCTCCGACGCACACACTGGATCCGCCAACAGGTTACTGAGAGTCTGGGAGAGTTGTAAAAGTAACTATAATTAGCACATCATCGACGTTTAGAATAATTGTATAGAAAAGTTCTAGAAGGGAGATTGTATAATACTAAAATAGAAAAAGAGAAAAATGGGTAGAGATAGCCCAAAAACAAAAGTAAAAACCTGCAGACAGTTATTCTGCACATCAGGATCGGTGCTGTTCTTCATGCGGTTGAAAAGCGTGTTGAGGATGTTAGCGGAAACGAGTTGATCGCAGCCTAGAGGCTCGCGTGTCAACTCGCACAACACCAACGACGCAAACTCTAGCACGAATATGTCTTCCACCTTAACAAACAATACTACAAGATATCTCGTAAAGACGAAGAACTTTTTGGGTACAGAAAGACCCCATGTAGCAACACGATAGAAACTCCCAATTAAATTATTGAAAAAGCGAACATCGCTCCTTACTTTGGCGAGCATCAAGGCGATTTTCCTCAAGTTCTGAGGGTTTTCGAGCACGACCTCAGGCGCTTGCGGTAACTGGCACAGCTGTGCGAGCGCTTTCAGCGCGAAGCGGCGGATGTTCAGCTCGGCGTGATCCACGTGCGGCAGGATGTATCGGATCGCACTCAGATCGAACAGAAGCTGACGGTTCAGCATGTCTTGCGCTGAGAACTTTGTAATCGCGCGTAACGTCTATAGAAAGACTTTGAGTTAGATAATTAAATACATTTGCAGAAAAAGAAATACTAAGATAACCTTTGGGAGAACATAAACCTAGGTATAGCCCCGTTGATTTGGAAGCCATTACCATCTAGCTAATTTAATTAAAATGTTACTTCTGACTTAGGGTAGGCTTTGAACGATTCATTACGGCGTATACAGTTAACTTTGTATTATAACGGCGAAAAAATCTTCTTATAATTTGTTTAAATTATAAGAAGATTTCACGTTTGTGAAAATAGTAACATTTATTTCTGGTGTTATTGTTAGTTGATGCCTTACGGTTCCAAGCTATATTTTTGGTACAAATGTGAAATTGTTTGGCCTTTTTTATCGTAGTTCCTGAAAACCTACGACCAAATAAAAATACACCTGGCATAATATCTCTGGTTCGGGAGACTCGAGGATTAGCACGGCAGTCTTAGCAGTCTCCGGGGTGATGGTGTATGGATGGAAAGTCAAATCTTTCTTATCGGCTGATCTGTTTTCTCTATCTTTCTGCAAAGGTTTCGCCATCTTAGAAAATAATCAAAATATATTCGATTAATCTAGATATTTATAGAAACTAGACTTTTACTGTCTTATTTGCTTTTTTGACGTTTTAGAAACGCCAATTACATTTTTTGTTGATATCAAATCATTTTTTTAGCTGAAGATTACCAAATACTTTTGTTATATGTTGGTTTTGATCGTTTAAAATTAAATTAATAAATACAATTTACTTTCATAAAAAGATAAAAATATTTGGGCTAACGCCTGTGGCTCAGTTACCTTTGCAGACTATTTTTTTAAACTGGCCGTTACGATGTTAATTTGAAAAAAGTTAACAATCATTTTACTTTCTGTCATTTTCCAGTTAGACATTTTGAATGTTGATGTAATTTTATATAAAAGCTTTATGCGAAGTAAAGGTTTGATATTTCGTTACATAGGTATTATAGCTAGGAAGTTTAGGGCGTTCCAAGAGAGATGGCTGTTACCGTGGTGGGAGAGCGGGGGCATGTCGACAGCGCCGCTTTGGGCACTGGACACACTCGTGCTCATCGTTAAACTCTGCTCCACCTGTGCCATTGCTGTTGTAAGGGTGCTAATCCCACCAACTATGAAGAATTTGTATGGAGAGACTGTTTTGGTTTGTACCTTTCTTTAGTTCTCTTCATCCATAATAAGCTAAAAAAGCGAAATATTCGTACCAAAGCGTCTCAAGACTTGTACTTTGGTACAATTATAGATAGAATCTTCTAGTATTCTGTATATTGCATATACTCCAGATCACGGGTTCCGGCCAGGGTTTGGGTCGCGAGCTGGCGCTACAGTTCGCCGATTTGGGCGCTACTGTCATCTGCTGGGACTACGACACGCCCCGGAACAACGCTGTTGTCAGTGAAATACGGAGGAAGGACGGCGAGGTAATTTTTTCGGAATACCCTATGTATATAACTAAAGTTCAGCTATAACTCTTGGTCTTTATTCCCAGTGCTTCGGGTTCACTATAGATGTGACGTCACGGGAGCAGGTTTTCTCACTAGGTGCGCGGCTGCTGCGTCAACTGTCTGACGTTAGCATCGTGGTAAGCAATGCAGGCGCCTGCTCCAGCGCGCCCGTGACTCACTTCAGACCGGAGGCCATCGACAAGCTCATTGAGATTAACCTACTCGCCCATTTCTGGGTAAGACAAATCCAAATCAATTAAAGCAGTGCTTGGATATCGTAGAGCTAAATTGTCGTATATTGGACCTTATTGCGATAACGTTAAAGTTGAATATAAAATATTTACTTTCACGTTTTCACAGATTATACAAGCGTTCCTCCCGAGCATGATAGAGAAGAGACGTGGTCACATCGTTGCGATAAACTCTAGCGCGGGTCTCATGCCTTGCGCAGACAATGTGCCGTACTGTGCTGCTAAATACGGACTCAGAGGTACAACCTATTTATCACAAATTAGACAAATATCTGGAAAGTCGACCTTAATTCATTTACATAAAGTTCACAATAAATTGCACAACCCTTATTCTATTGCTTCTTACAGCATTTTTTTATAAAAGAAAAAAAAAATCTTTCGCCCGCCACTACGCCGGCGTAGAATAAAAAGAAACAGAATCAAACAGCCTGTGTGTTCTTCCAGATTATACTCTAACATCCATACCAAATTTCATCGAAATCCGTTCAGTCGTTTAGGCTACAAACTCTAAAAACATCCATCCATCTAAACTTTCGCATTGATAATGTCAGTATGATTAACAGATTTAATTGTCAGGGTTGATGGACGCAATAACAGAGGAGCTGCGTTTAGATACTTGGACGAAGAATATTTACACGACGTCAGTGTACCTGGCGACGTTATCTACGGGTTCGTACCTTGCGCCTGCGCACCGCTTCGCCTCTCTTTATCCCGAGATCCCGCCTAAGGAAGCCGCTAAAATCATTATTGATGGTAAATATTTTCGATACTCATAGTTGTAATCCACGCCATCTATTGTTTGATTAATAAACCCAATTAAGAACGTTGATTAACGTTTTTTACTATATTTTATTTTCATTAATGTTTAATAGTGTAGAATATGTAAATTAATTATTATATGATTTTACAGGTATTCGTAAAAATCGCAAAGAAATCAGCATACCTTCAATCATGAAGCCACTGATTGCTCTCAACAACATGCTTCCTTACCGCATAAGAATAATTCTCATGGATTTCTTTAATTTCGGTCACAGGGGTTGGTTTAGCTTTTGTTGACTTTGTTTAGAATATTTACATGTATTTAGATATTAAGAATATTTGTATGGACAAGTTTTTATTTTGTTTAGTTTACAATGTTCTTATTTATTTCCGTAAGATAAATTACCGTGACCATTGTGAAAGAATTACGCGCCTTATGACAAACAACTAGCAATTTTTTCAACTAGCGATTTCGAATCTCTGTTGCGTATTACGAATACCATTATTAGGTGTTTAATTTATTTTTGATGTTATTATTTTGTAATAGATTTGTATATTGTGTAATTTGTTATAAATAAAAATAATTTAGAACAGATGCTTTTTTTTTAACACACATTGCAAAAATAAAAATTGCTACATTTTTAAAACATTATTTACACATTTTATTAAACACACATATGACACTCTAATTTATTTTTATCAAATTTATGACCACATCTATCGCACATAGTAATTTCACAATGTTTTAACTGATGTTCATATTTAGTTTTAGCATTTGAAAACTTTTTAGAGCAGAATGAGCATTCATGATCATTTTGTGCCATATGCAGCAAAGAGTGACGTAATAACGTGGCTTTTGTCGCGAAACTGTGACCACAGGACTCGCACAAGTGACCACCAACAGCCTGCTTTGTGGTGTGATTTTGTACATGGATGTACATTTCTTTATGATTCTTTGATATTTCATTGCAAATCTTACATCTGAAAGTAAAAAAAAATCTTTTAAAAAAGCAACACTAGACAGAGAACTTTTATAAATATATTTTAGAGAATCGTTTTGGCATAAATTCATATGCAATATTAATGAATCTTTTTGAGGCTTCATACACTATGAATAATTAGAATCAAGTTAATTAAAGAACAACTGCACTAAAAAAGATGAATGTTTATAATTTAAGTAAGATAGATAATTCTTTACCTATATAATAAGTTGTCAGGTTTTTCATGTTCCTTTTTCTTATGTTTAGTTAATGCGTCTGCACCGATACAGGTATGTCCGCATATATCACAAATCTTTTCAGCCGATTTAATTAAATGTCGCTTTGCATGTTTGTATAGTTCAAATCTATCTTTAAATATTACTCCGCACTGTTTGCAGCGATGACACAACCCTAACATAGACACTTGGTCCACTCTACAACTATTATAGTGTTTTAAAAGTAATTCTTTGCTTGTGAACTGTTTACCACAGAAGCAACTCATTTGTGTTAATATTCCATGAATGATTGAGTGGTTTTTCATTTTTTTCTTAGAATCAAATAGAGTATTACAATATATGCATGTTCTAAATGCAATCTCACAGATACTTAAATGTTGTGATAATTTTTGTATATCATCAAATTTCGTTTTACAACCAAAACATGTTGTCTTATCATATTTTACAAGATTACTTTTAGTTTTGGGCTCTGTCTCTTTAAACAGTATTCCTTTTACTAACTCAACATCGGAATCTAAGACATCTATATCCATTTTAATACATTTCTTTGTTTTCGGTGATTCCTTCTTCTTAGGACTAGGTTGTTTACTAACTTTATTAATTGATTTTGTAAACTCTATGTTATGTTCGCTCGTTTTATCAAGCAAACTTACTATCGAAGGTATATCTTCTTTACCTAAATTGTTCAGATATTCCTCTATATTTGCTGTATTATTTAGAAATTCCAGGAGCGAGTCCGAATTGTATTCAGAATCAGGTAACGGTTGTACATAAGTCTTTGTTTCAGACGATTTCTTTGATTTTGACTGCGATGATTCCAGCCAGTCTTGTGAACAGCGAGCATTTTGTTGGAAATTGTAAAAGTCGCATAACTGCGATACGCAAACTACGCAAATATCTGTAGGGAGGTCATCGTTGGAACTTACATTTATTGATAAGCATGATTTTATATGTAAAAGAACAGCGGGATCTTCAAAAATGGATACATGTTTCGACTCAACATCCAAACATATTCTACAGCAGATTTTTATGTTCTCTTCCATTTGTTTACCTTGTAATTATGATAAAATTTATAAGTAAAAAAGATTTAACTTTGATTTACTACTTATATGTGGGAAAACAGTCAAAAACACTTTGTAAATATAAACTTCAAATCAATAAAATCGACCTATAATAATATTGAATAATATAAAAATATTTGCAATCACCAAACACCTATCACCTTACTGACAGTTGTCAAGTTGTTATGTCAGATAACAACGTCAATATCATTATCATGGATGTATTACTTATTACCTCCATGGTCATTATCATTATCAGTTGTAGAATAGCAACACTATCAAAAATAGATTTATGATTTTTTCCTTCAAACAGCCACAAAATTGTTTCAGTTTTGAATTTACACGGAATTATGGATCAGGTTAGTACTGTTCAATAAAGTTTAGATTGGTAAAGAAGCATAAAATAAGTATTTAAAATGTTATTCACAATGATTGCAACACACAATTGCAATATTTTAATTCAAAATATTATGGCAAGTTAGCAATAAGTTGTGACATTTTGACAAAAATATGTCATCTGTCGTGCGTAATGTTTATGCAGTGACGCAATTTCAGTTGTGTGAATAATTAAAAATCAGTTAACGCAATAAATAATTTAATGGTATTTCGCCCACTTTGTACGAGTTTAAATTAAGTTATGTACACTATTTTTTTAAATTAGACGAAATGACATCCCCGTCATTTTATTATCAATATTATAAAATTCAATAACATTTAATTTATACCAATTCTTTTGTAATTTTACTAAGTTTTTATTTGTCATTAAGATCTCAATAGTATAAACTTGCAAGCATAAATATTGGAATCTCTGTATTTAAAAAGTAAAAAAGTAAACAAAATACTTGTTAATCATGTCTTCAAAAGCCGATCCTGGCCGAGAAGCTGAAGAATCCCTGTTATATTCAGCCAGACATGGAGAATTATCAGTCGTTAAAGCCTTGCTTGAAGCGAAGAGAGAGGGAAAATTGACATTGGATATTAACTGCAAAGGTATGTTTCTTATGTTTTTATATAATTTCATCCACAAAATTATTGCAAAAATTTTTTTTAAATATTGACAACTAAGCAAGAGTAAGTTTAAAGAAATTGTAAAAGAGTTAATTGTTTGTACACATGTTTACTGGCATATATTCACAGTGTCGAAACATCCATCATCCTCTTCTTATATCAGACATGTATGGTAGGGTTCATCCTCCTTATAAATCTATGTACTGGTATCTTTTTTTTTCAATATAAAGTGGCAAATGAGGAAACTTCCTTTTGAATCCGCCGCCATTCCTATGTGTATTCTCTACCATCAAATTCACTGAACACACAAAAGGGTGGAAGGGAGAAGCGACTAAAATTAGGCTTTGTTATCTCAGTAGTAAGGGAGAGATACCTTCTTGATCATGTGAACTTACACACAGTGCATGGTTTTCTTCCTAATTCTACTATGGGTGTACCTCCACACTCATAAAGTTTTTGGGTCACATGCCATTTTTTCTTCCTCTTACCATCTTAAGCTCACATCTTTTTATTTGTCTACCAATAGTACTACTTGCAGAATCTACTCATTTCATATATTTTACTATTTTCATCCATCTTTAGCCCAACATGTGAAATCATAATATTTTTTGTGGTATGAAACGCAAGGTATAATGGAATTTACAAGTATGTCCAGAATATCCAATAAAAAAACATTTCCAGGGCCAGATTATTAGAATTTATTTTAAAAAGTTATGCAATAATGAAAGTAGTAAGAAACATGCTGGACCCTCATGGTCACAGATACATGGATTAGCATATATTATGTAAAAAATACAGACCATATATGTCTTTATGAACAGAATATATAATAACTGTTGCCCGCGACTTTGTTGACCCAATACTAGGATAATAAAGTAGCCCATAATATGCCAATCTATGTTAGCTACTCTTGAATGAAAGTCCAATCAGACAAACAGACAGACAAATTTTTAAATGTGGTTTTCGTTATTGGCAACGCAAATACATTATCTTCACAAAATCTGAAATTTTTCATTTGATATTACAAACAGACACTTCAATTTATTATATGTATAGATGTGATATTATAATGTAACTTAACACCCTCAAGTTATGAGTCAGCTATTGGAAGTATCAAGTTTATACTTAAAGTTGTTTTAAATTCAATACCATGTCACACTTAACTAAAATGAACTTTACTATGTTGAAATAGAACACATTTTAACTTGTTACATCTAATATTATGTTATGTATTGAAAAAACTTGTTTTAGAGACTTATTACCATATATTACAACTATGAAGTATTTTTAAATATGCATAACCTTGACTTGGCTAGATTTTTTCTTTGTTTTATGATATATTTTTTTTGAGTGGCACAAGTGGCACAAGTAATTCAGATAATTCAAAGAAATATATGTAAATCAGATGTTTGACATTGCCTTTTACCTACAGAGGTTCAGTCTAGTTTGCCATAATTTCATTTCTTACCAGTATATAAATGCGAAAGTTTATATACTTGGATGGATGTTTGTTCCTTTGTATCTACAGAATGGCTCAATGGATCTTGCTGAAATTTGCCATAGATATAGATTATAGTATGGAAGAACATGTACACTACTTATTAAGTATTTTAAATTCTGTGAGGACAGTGTCATGGGCGACAGTCTTCCATACATCTCAGTTGTCACATCTGATTTCATTCCCCATTTATGCATCAATACTATCTTCGGTCTTTTTTTTCATACAAAGTAAGATGGCAAACGAGCAAGCGGCCACCTAAATCTGCCAAAATGGTAAAGCGATTGGTGGGCCCATAGACATCTGCAATTGCAGATGCGTTGCCTACCCTAAATCGACGGAGGAGGAGACGTACATAAAGAGGATATTTCCCCTTCCTATGCGCCTCCTCCAATGTCAAATCCTCTTTCCCATCCAATCCTTTCCTAATAACAAAAGAGTGGAACGGGAATGGGTCTTAAACTGGGCCTTCGGTCTTCTACCTTTATAGGGTTTTAGCTTTTCAATGAAGCCGTTGTAATTTTTTCTATCTGAAGTCTTCTGTACTTTATTATTCCAGGTAAAAGCAGAATTAACTATGGCTGGACACCGCTACATTTGGCTACGTATTTCGCGCACAAGGAAGTTGTGGAGTTGCTGCTTGACAGCGGCGTTAATGTTGACGAAGTTAATGACAACGGCGATACCGCGCTGCATAAAGCTTCTTTCACTGGAAATGAAGTTAGTATACTTGCAATAAGTTTTCAGGATTTAAACAAGTTGACTTATATACTAACTGTTGCTCGCGATTCCACTGAGTCATAATAAAAATATTTAAATATATAGCCTATGTTATACACAAATAAATTACCTTTCTAATTGTCAAATTATTATTAATATTGGCCCAGTTGTTTTTGAGCTGTTCCAAGACATACAAAAATACAAATCTTTCCTCTTTATAATGTTAGTATAAACACTGGGGGCTGTTGCAAACCGATAACCGAGGCTAGACTACGTAGCTATCGTTTTAAATTTTACATTTTTTACTCTATGGACCCATGCTCTAGTCTCATCAAATAACAGTACAATCAAATTATTTAGACTCGATAAATAGATTTAAGTTTAAAAACTCATTTGTACAGGAATTAGTGATTCTCTTACTGAACTACAAAGCGGATGTGAACATAATGAACGGCGAGGGTCAGACGGCGTGTGACGTCAGCAAAACGCACGATGTTCAGCGGCTGCTGGAAGCGGCGCAGAGAGCGGAGCGTGTGGACAAAGAGCGTCGACTCCTCACTGCGGCTAAAGATGGACGGGTAGAGGAGGTCCAGGCATTGGTATTATACTTTTTTAACTTTGTTTCGATTGAAATTATGTACTTATACAAAATGAGTTTCGATGTGATATCGCTTCTAGAATCGATATGTGATATAATGTATGGAATAAATTCTCGACAAGTACTAGACATATCGAAGGTTAGTTCCATTATTTTGGAATTTTAGATCAGCGATTACAGTAATCGAAGGTTACTTTGTCTAAGGGTCAAAGGTGTCAAATTCTATTCATGGCGGCCATGTTGATATTTGACGTCATTCGTCATAATATTAAGATAAAAAAAGTAGCCTATAATATGCCCGTCTATGTCAGCTACCCTTCAGTAAAAGTCCGGTCAAGATCGGCCCAGCCATTTCGAAGATTACCCGGAACAAATGCGGACAGACAGACAGACAAAAAAATTTTTAATGCGATTTTCGTCAGTTTTTTGAGTTTTAGTGTAAATTGTAAATGATAGGTGTTTATATGCGATGTTTTGTAGCTGAGCGGCGTGAGTCCTCCGAACATAAACAGTGTGGACAGCCAGGGCAACTCGGGGCTGCACTGCGCCGCCTACCGCGGACAGGCGCGCGTCGCCGTGCTGCTGCTGCAGAACGGCATCGACACCACCCTCAGGAATAATACCGGTGTGTGCTCGACACAAAACTCCCAATCAATTTAAATACTAGCTTTTACCAGACTGGGTTAATTTATAGTTTTAGTAGTATTGCTGGAAATATATAGTAACCAACATCCGTATATCTAAACTTTCGCATTTATGTTATTAGTACAATACTAACGTTCGCCTTCGACTTCACGTGGTATTAATAAAAACAAAAGTCACCTGTGTGTTCGTTCTTCTACACTACATCTGTGCGCCTAAATTTCATAGACATCATTCGTTTTGGAGGTGAACTCAACAAACATTTATTTATTTATTTAGTTTTATATGTCGCAATTAGAAGAAGAAATCAATTTGAATTTAAGTCATAATTAGAACACGAGCGCCGCCAAGCGAATTTCGAGTTAACTTAGATTATTCTGAAAATAGGGATCATTGCGAGAACATTGTTTGAACGTTATGAGCTTGGTAGATCGATGATATCCTGACTGAGGAGCATTGTGAATGTATTCCTGGCATCCGACTTTACCCATGGCCGCCGAGCCGCATGCTCAAGCCGACATATATATATTCTATACAATTACATTTTTTTTAATTTGTTTATTATAGATTTACGCATAATTTATTTTTAATGTTTGTACGGATCCCTGATGGGTAAAAGCCTGCTCCAACTTTGCCAATAATTTACCCTTCCATTAAGATTTTGCATTTATAATATTAATGAGAAGTAAGAGTTGTAAAATGTACGAAAGAGCACAGAATGTTACTTTCCTTAGTCCTTGAAGTTTGAACTGTGAATAGAATAATCTTTTTCTTTGTGTTTTTGTACAATTGTGCAATGTATTGTGCAGGTCAGCTGGCCATAGACTTAGCGAAGGATGACGAGATGCGCGAGGTGCTGAGCGTGCGGCCGGTGCAGAAGCTGCAGCGCACCGCCGCCAGATTCGAGGGACCCCTGCTCAAGAAGTCCCGCTTCCTCGGCTGGAGACCTGTCTGGGTTGGTACACCCGGAATATGGCACATAGAATCACTTTTTTTTTGTTTTTTACCTAAAATTGTTGATGTATTTCAGAGTTATTTATTTATAACGTTATTGAATCACCATTTTGTTGCATTTATTTATCTGTTGATCCCCGAGTGGATATAGGTCTCCTCCAGATTCTTCTTTTAGAGCATTCCTAGACTAGGTCTCCCGCTACTGTTCTTATGTTATCCACATATCTTTTCTATCTATATATTAATACAAATAAAGCGTAAATATACACTTTTATGTTGTATAAGATTTCAGCAATCACACCATGTTTGAGTTTTTTTTTTAATAAATAGTTCTACACTTGCGACACTTTGTAGGTTATATATTTTCAAACTATTAAACTCAGGAAGTAAATAATCTTACTAATATTATAAATGCGAAAGTTTGGATGGATGGATAGATGGATGGTTGGATGGATGGATGTTTGTTAGCGTTTGTGGCCTAAACGGCTGAACGGATCTCCATGAAATTTGGCACAGGTTCAGAGCATAGTCTGGAAGAACACATAGGCTACTTTTTATCCCTGGAATAGTTACGGTTCCGTGGGATTCATTAATTTAGTTTTTTAATGTTTACTCGATCATTCTGCAACGGATCAACATATCTTATTGAAATTTGGCAGAGATATAAAACAAAGTCTGGAGTACACGTGGGATAAGCTTCATCCTCGAGAAATGTCCGGTTCCCGAGGGATACGTAGCTTTTTGTAATTTTTATAGTTTTTATGTTTTCAATACCACGTGTACGAAGTCGCGGGCAACAGCTCGTACTGTAGAAAACCATAAAGCGTGAATGGGATAATATTTTTTGTCGATGTTGGTGACCACCGTGGGGGTTTTAATCGGTGCTAGTCCAACATCCCGATTTAGGTCCCCACTTAAAAGGGACAACATTAATAGTAATTTGGACATTTGTAATTAAAAAAAAGTAAACAATAAAATATAATATGACACAAAAGCTAGTTTACTATAGTTTAATTTGTGATTTTATTGAATTAGTAAAGTGTGTTCCAGGCGGTGCTGCAACGCGGTGTGTTGATGTACTACGGGTGCCGCGCGGAGGCGGCGCGGGGCGCAGCGCGCGGCGACAAGAAGTACCTGGACGGCGCCCGCCTGGCCGCGCCGCACGCGCAGCCCGCGCTGCTGCTGCTGCACTACAGCGACGGCGACAGCCACCGCCTCGCCGTCGACGCTGCGGAGCCCGACACCCTCGCCGCCAGACAGGTCAGCACTGCCCTAACAGCGTCGCTGTAGGGTCGGCTCTCCCCCTCCAATACCACGACCACACAGAAAACAGTGAAGTGGAAGCATTAACGCGTGCAGTCTGATGAGTTCGAAGGCCTGATTTTAGTCCCTTTCCTTTTCCACCCTTTTTTTAAGAAGAAATGATGGGAAGGAAAAGTTGATTTGACGGCGGAGGAGATACGTAGCAAGGGTAAATGTCTTCTTTATGCGCAATTTCTCCGCCGATTAAGAGTAGACAACGCATCCGCAACAGTCATTGTGTATGGGCAGCGGTCGCTTCGCCATTTAAGGGATTTAGATGGCCGCGTGCTCGTTTTTTATAAGATATTTTTTTATGTTATAAGATGGCAAACCTTATAACATATAAAAGTCTTCACAATTTACCCCTTCAACAAAGTAATCGATTATCGGTATTAAAAACTCAAAAATGTAATTTTATCATTGCTCAAAAATACAGGACCGCCCCCTCGCCCCGCCCCCTAGATTTTTTCCTATAAATTTTAACATTTTGTCGATTCTACTATAGATATGAAAAGTCAAAAGTCATTTTGTGTAGGCGTTTATGATATTTTTCGTGTTTTTATTTAATAGTAATTTATTTCGCAGTCGTGGATAACAGCACTGAACGAGCACATCGCGTACTCCGGGCACTACCTGTGGGCGGGCGCCGGCCCGGAGACCGCCAAGGAGGCCACCGAGGACGATGACTGCAAGCCATTAGGTTAGTCGTACTATTTGTGTCACACTTATTAACAAATATGCACGCAAACTGACGTATACGCACATATTTTTATATATAGATACGAATATGTGGTAGTAAGATTCACACTTGGCCTGTACAAGACAGTATCGTTCAACAACTGGACTGGCATTTAACTGGAATAGTGAACATTAACATTCGCCAGTCAGTTGCCTAGCCTGTGCAACTGTCCAAGTAGCTAAGTATAAACCGCGAAAATAGTATATGTGTAGTTTTTAAAATAATCATAAAATAAATAAGTTTTATAATTTAACATATAAAAAATGAAATATACAACGCCTATATCAACAGTACGTTTCCGGAAGTCATTCACTCAATTACCGACAAAAAGAAAAACTGCATATGACGTATGCAATTCCAAATGTCTTACTTATTCATCCCCTTCGAGTTTAATCCAAATATCAGGCACAAGTATGAACAGCAGTATATGCTTGTCAGGGTCGATGCAGGACGCGCTGACGACCGCCAACAACCGGCTGGCGGTGCTGGAGACGCAGCTGCGCGAGTGCGGCGCCATCGTCGCCGCGCTCGACAACTGCGCCGCGCAAGCCAGCTCGCTGCACCACTCCGCCTACATGGTTCGTCTGCCCTCCACTGTACTGTCCCGTCGGACTTTACCGCAAACATCTTCGACCACATCTTCACCTTCATCTACTGGTCAAGCGCTGGTATTGCAATTTAAAAAAAAACTGTATTTTATCATCAATTCGTTAAACTATCAATTGTCTAAATAAGGCTTCAATAACAAAGGTCATTAGCGTTGGCAGGATTCTACTACTAAATTGGCGGCATTGTAGTTTTTGTCCTTTTCCCGCATTTAGAGTTTCAGAGTTTTTTCAATTTGTTTACCCCCTTAGTTTAATAGTGTGAAGATATGTAGCCTAAAATGTGACGTAAGTGTAGCGCTTTAAAAATAATTATTCACAAATGTACTGTGATTACTGACATCTTACGTATCTAAGAAGCGTGTATATACGCTTTATTATTTTAGTATAGTTTGGAAAAATATATCATGCGGGAGAGAGAGGTAAAAAAAACGCCAATAGCAGTGACGAAGCGAGATTGTTATTAATTCTTAGTCAGAGACTTTCATTGCAGAGACCTTGGATTTTGGCATTTTCAATTGAATGAAATGTAAACAAAGTATATATATTTTTAAATCATGTGAATTAATAAGATATATATAATATAATGGCATAAAAGTAGTATTTATTGTGTTATGCAGCGTTTCCAGCACGCGTGCGGCACTGGCGCGGAGGCACTGAGCTCGCTGAGGCACTGCGCAGCGCTCGTCGCGCAGGCACGCGACCGCGACCAAGCCAGGCTCGCTAGGGAGGTCGGTACTGCGCAGCTGCGCACCAACTGAGCGTTACGCACATTGCACTGCGCAGCTTCGCATCAACTGCGCACTACGCACATTGCACTGCGCAGCTGCGCACCAACTGAGCACTACCCACTTTGTACTGTGCAACTGCGCACCAACGGAGCGCAGTGCGCACTGAGTATACAATGTTTAAATGACGTCAAATTGGACGATTTTTTTATGTATACTTTATTACTATTAAAATATGTCTATGAAGACTTTTTTACATAATTTGATTTAGCGAAATTTAATCATTAAAAAGTTTCTTAAAATTCAATAGCCTAGTTCTAAAACGCAAACGCTCGAAGCAAGAGATAGGTAGATCACTTTTGACTTTATAACTCAGAAACAATGAAATACTTTGTTGTATGACGTCACAACACTCTGGCACCGTTTAAGTCTTACGAAATTCACAATTATTTTATACTGTTTTTTTAGCTGAATGGTTGGTGTCTTATGACAATTTTCTCTGATTATGACAACTAGTAACGTTTTAAAAAAATACATTTATGTTCAGTTTAAATTATGTGTGCAGTTAGAACGTAACCGCGTGCTGGAGGAGGCGCTGGCGGCGCTCGCTCGCACGCACCACGCACTGGAGATGTCCGTCGCTGACGAAATCACTAAGGTAACATTGTAGGCTTCCACTGTCATTTACATAAAAGTGGTTTTCACACGCTACTCTATACGGTATTAAAAAGTAGCCTGTGTGATTCCAGACTACCCTCTACATTTATGATAAATATTATCCATTCAGCAGTTTTGCCTAAACTGATTTTAATAAAAATCCATGTACCCATCAAAACTTTTATATTTATAATATCAGTAAGATTTAGGCCAATGTAACTGTTACTAATTAAGACTAGGGTTTATGTACTTTATAATATACTCTTATTATGGTTATTTTGTAGTAATATTTCATTTAATTTTCAGAGTAAACGAAAAAAAAAGTTATCACAAACCGAATCGAAGGAAAATTTCTTCGACGTATATGACGGTTGGTATTTTTTTTTATTTTTTCGAATTTCAATGTATGCTATGATGTTATTTTATTCTATTTTTCTTTGCACCCTTAAGGGAAAAGGATGGTAGGAAAAGTGGATTTGACGGCGGAGGAGACGCATAGGTAGGGGAAGTATCCTCTTTATGTGCGTCTCCTCCGTCGATTACACATCTACAATTGCGTATATCTGGGCCAACGGCGGATAGGGGGGGATGGGCGGCGGGGGTGGTGGGGAGGGTGGCCATGACCCCTATGACCCCCCCTCCCAGCTTGTTGTTCAACATATATTTACATATTTTGTCAAATTCTTGACTTGACCACGTCTAGATGACCCCTTTCCCCTCGGCGCCAAAGCTGTATCCGCCCTTGATCTGGCCAGTGGTCCGCCATTTCAGTCGCCTCTTTATATAAAAGAAGTAACTTGCAGACTCTGGCGAGGACGACGACACGCTGGTGACGGCGGGGCTGTGCAGTCCGCTGGGCGCGCTCAGCCCCTGGGGCAGCAGCCCCGACCTCGCGCACACGCCCGCCAGCCTCGATAGTGAAGGTATACTGAACGAATCACTGAATGAATTAAATGCGAATGAACTGAACTATAAATGAGTTCTCACTACAATCGATGCGCGGAACACGTGAGTTGAGCATCAATGTCATTCAAAAGGTGACGAAATGACCTATTGAATGACATTGGTGACAAATATAGGTGCAATTCGGAAATAACAACTTAGAATTTGATTTGATCTACAAGCAACTAAGTATTCATGTGTTTGGGTAAAAATTCAAGCGGGAAAGGGACAAGAACTACAAGCTGACACCAACGAAGTGAGGTTGCCATGGTAACGGTAATTGTTTTTCAATGTGAAAGGCCTTCGCTGTCATTTATGCATTTGATCCATGTAGTTTAAAAAAAAAGTAAATAGCGTATGTGTTCTTCCAGACTATGCTTTACATCAATGTCAAATTTCATCGAGATTCGGCCGTTTAGGTTATAAACATCCATACTTTCGCATTTATACACAGATGAGAAGACGGCGACGAACGAGGCAGCGCTGCAGCGCGCGGTGTCCGGCTCCTCGTGGTCGTTCCGCAGCGAGTGCTCGCGCGGCACGCTCGTCTCGCAGGACGGCCACGTGTACCGCAACGCGCGCCCCTACCGCAGCCCCGCCACGCCCAGGTAACGCCCCCCCCCCCGCTGACGTATGACGTCACTGCGCACCACACAGCCACCCCTACCTGTGCTACGTCACTGCACGCTCGAAAGCCAGCCCAGCTGGGGTGACGTCACTGAATACGACACCTAGCCCGGCTAGTGGGACGTAACAGTACGTACGACAGTATGCCCCGTCCACTGACGTGTGACGTCACAGTACTCTTGTACAATCCACAAGAATTGTATGGCACTTTCTTGACATTTTCACGGGTGTCTGCTAATTTTTAGTATTAGCTGTAAGGGAAATCGTTTCAACTTCTTTCGAAATCCTTCATGTTGAAAACTAAATATATGCTATTTTTTCCAAACCGAATTTCGAAATAGTAAAAATGGCGACATTTACCAGTGCAGTTGCCACTCCCTGATTGGTCAAAATGTATTAAGATGCAGCTACCATATAATCCTTGCAAGTGTATACGTCAAATGTGAATGACGTCACAGACGACAAGTTACGTTGTGTGACAGAGATAGCGCTCTACAAAGCCGAAATTTGCGGATTGCTAGCCCTTTTTTTAAATTATACGTTTTTACAAGTAACTAAAGAATTTTGATTTGATTGGATTTCTAAAGATACATGTCCAACAATTTTGTTATTTTTATTTCTCTTACATTTTGTTAAATTATTTGTCTGTTTTATTTTTATTATTTAATTTTTTCTCTTTTTTATTTTTGTTTCAGTTCCGACTAATGTTAACGGGCACAAACCCGAATTAAGCGCAACAAAGGACGCAGCATTTACCTTATTACAGTTAGCACAAATATGTTAATGAAAATTTATTTTTTCCTAATAATTTTATTCATATTTAGATTTCAAAATATACTTGCCATGTTTTTTTTATGATATTTTAACAAATGACTATGTTTAGACTATCGATAGGTATTTCTATCTCTATCGTCTAAATAATTAGTGCATTTAAATGAAAAGGATAGAGTATATAAGACAAACGGAAAAAGAAGATATAGTTTTAAAAATAATTCTAGAGTGGACCATTTTTTAATGCTAGAGGACTTATGCAAAAATAAATTTACACCTTGAAAAAAAGTTATTCAAAATGTTGGCTTGTTCCGTTTATTACTTATTACTTCCTCAATAATAATAATAGTAATAGATGGCCCGAAAAATAGAAAAGTATACGCACTCTACCGGTTACGAAAACGAAAAAAAAAATCTTGTTACCTACCTTGTTAGGTAAACGAAACAAGCCATAAATTTTTTATATGTGCTTCCGTAAATTGACGCTAAGCTAAGTACCGGTATTATGTTGAATTTTGTGACTCACAAAAAAATTTCAACTAAATTTTTACAATCTAATTTTAAATGTTTTTTTTATGTTCAACTAAATTTACTAAAGTTTCAACAGATTGGATATTTTTCCGTCTAAAGTAGGGAAAATCGATGCTAGTTATTTAAAGAATCATTACTGAACATTGATTGAACTAAAAAAAATTGAAATTAGTTTTGGATAGAAAATATGATAGTTCTGGATAAACTAGTTACAATCTTGTACAATATCGGTATAAATTCATTAAAATTTTAGTTGAAAAATCTTCTATCCTTTTTTTCATGCTTTGATATAATAGTTGACACATAGTAAACTAACAAATCTGATAATAATCTCTTAAAGACTTCAAAGGTGATTTTTATTCCAAATATATGACAAAAAGCGATATGTGATTAAAAAAAATAGTTACCAACATATTCGATCTTACGATATTATAGTACAAAAAAAAAATGATATTGAATAGTTAATTTTAGTGATATTTTTAATACAAATTAATTCTTATTAGTTTTCATTAGATTGAAAATGATCATACATTTGATATTAAATTGAAATTATCGTGATTTTAATGAATCTCTTAATTTAATGACAATTATAAACCTAAAATTACAAGTTTAAAAAACTGTCATCCTAAAAATATAGTTTACTAACGACCGAATTCTGAAACGAACTTTTAGCGTTAGCGATTACAATCAAAATTTTAATGGAAATATCGAGTTTTGTTTCAATATTTGGCCGTAAGTAACACGTCTAATCTTTTCTATGCACAAAAATGTATCAACGCACATTGCCTTAAAGGTATACGAAAGAATAACTTTGGGGACCTTTGGGTATTCTGTTACGATTTTCACAATAGAAATAACTAAATCTGATTTATCCAATTAAAGCGTACAAACTCTTCCATATTATATTAATTTAGTTTTTGATACTTTATTTAATTTATTTTTTATAGACACGACAAACAAGCCATTAAAACATTATAACGTCACTTATTTATTTCTACTTATCTGAAGGTATAAGTGAAACTAAGTTGACAGCTTACTCCTTTATTACTATTTAGATGAGCAGCGCCTTCCATCTTTGTATGACATTTAGGGCTCACACCTTTGACTAAACTATCGCACAATTTTTTAGTCGCACTTTGATTCTTATGACCTTATATGGAGAAAACTACTCGGTTTTAGTTCTACTAAACAGTTGGACTGCGAAACAATCGATAATCGTACAACCGTTGTGCGATAGTTTTGTCAAAGGTCTGCACCTGCTCCTAATTTTTTTTTGTCTTAAATCATGTTTTTGAGTTATTTTTCTGTACAATTTCGTTAAATATTAGACTGAACATTTGAATTTGAATTTGACTAGTAGTTTCACATTTGAATGGTTACCCATTTTAATGGTTTTAATGAAAATGTAAGTTTATGTTTTTAACATATATCCTTTTATAATCTCTAGAAATTTAATGAAAAGTATTGATTAGAAATAAATGCTTTATAAAACATGAATGTCAGATTTTGTGATATATTTTTTAAGTGTATTGTTTTCCATGATACTTTGTTTTTATTGATTTACTTAATTTTAGTTCGTAATAAATGTTTATTTTTAATTGTTTTCGTTTTATTTTGATAACACCTTATTATTTAACATTTCATAATCGTGAAAACCTAAGTTTAAGGCCTGTCCCACCAAATTGTAAATTGTCGAATAACAATCCAACGTGTAAAACTTGTAATGGAAATATCTGATTTTGTTCCTGTATCTGACAGTGACATGTATATACCACTAATAGGATTAAGCGGGATGGGGAGGAAAGGGGAGGGGATTAAGAGTTTGCAGTAGGCGTCGAGTAGATTGCCGTAATTCCTCGAGGAATTCATTGATGGATTATATTACAGCTAAAATTGTTTAAATAGTACTAAAACATCATTTACACTGCACTTTTAATTAGCTTTCTTATAATTAGTACCAAATTGGAGGAGAGTTGCCCACTCAATGGTTTAGAGGAAGCCTATGCCAAGAGGCATACTGAAATTAGGGACATTGTAAACTTTATGCATTCTCAACTATAGTTATTTGAATAATTTCAGAATAAAAGGGCTATGTTATTATTTTTATAATTAGTAAGTCCATCTGCATGGAACTCTAAAAATAAAAGTAAGAAGCCCATGTTATCCTAGATTAGCGTTTATCAGTTTTTTTTTTTAAATTTTAACATCCGTCTATCCATGTACACTATTCTATTTGTAATATTAAACAATTTAATTGTTATCCTTAGTTTAATATTTGAGCTGGGAGAACGTCATATTTCTTTAAGTATGTAAGCTAGTGTTACTTTAAGACACATCAAATCAGAGCGTTATCCAAATCAGACGTGTTCGTTATTTCGCTCCTCCCCGCTCCACAACTCATATTGTTGAAATAACCTGGTATTGCTTTCTTGCTTTTTGAATAAACGAAACCGATATTTATAGATATGATATACATGTAAATAGTTGTTTATTTGAACGTAGCACAAAATTTAGGTCAATTCCGAATTACCAATGACATAAAACTACGGATTGCGTCAAAACTCAATCCATACTGAATGATACGTGTGGGAATTACCAGAGTGAGATTGGTTTTTAGGCTTTTATTGTTATTTGTTGGCGTAATGATTACCGTAGAACACAATAATCTGGTTCTATTTTTGTTTTAATGTATTTTAGGTAACATTTTAATCAAACCTTTGACAAACTATAGCACAACTGTTGTGCGATTGTCGATTGTTTCGCAGCCAATTCAACTGTTTAGTTGCACAACTAATAATCGAGTAGTGTAACCTCCATATAAGCGTATAGGAATTAAAGCGCGACGAAACAATTGTGCGATAATTTTGTCAAAGGTGCGCGCTTTAAGACTAGCCAGTAATTGTAGTTTAAAAACATAAATGAAATTTTGTAGCAGTGTTAATTTGAATCTTGTTCTACGGTCTACGGTCTACGAACAAAGCTACACTCTACGACGTAGTTAATGTAGCCTTTTTACTTTATCAAGTGCACTTGTGATCGGTTTCTAGCTTTCAATAATAACGCTTACCTTTCTTCAACAGAGAAAAGTTATTTATAATACATTTTTTACCATTTCATTCTTGTACAACGTGTAAAGATGTACGTTTTTATGTTTACAACTTACCTGAACTCATAGCTTGATATTTTCGTGTTCTCAATCGCTCTACATGCCAATAAAACTTTATGGTTGCATCGATTTGTCTAGACAAGCTCTGTGCTGTAACACGAAAAACCCGATTTCTAGCAAACATATTTTTAGGTCGTAGCTTTTATTGGCCTCGCCATAAAGCTTCGAAATCAAACACCTTTGTCACTTGTCCCGATCGTTAAAATCATGTATCGTTTTTTATTATCGAAGAACATAATAGAGAAATATCGGATCTTTTTCTAGTTGCTTCGTTTTATCGTAATGACTTAAGTCTACAATATAAAAAAATCCTGCATATTTACATTGTAAAACACACTGACCCTTGCTACTAATGCGTTTTGATATAATTTTTTGAAGACTGAGAAATATTTGGTCCTTTGGAGACAGCACAAAATATCATACGTCTTGTCTGACCTTTTTGTTGCACGGAGATGTTTTATTTACTGTTATAAATTTACTCACATGACTTATGTATCTAAGGAAAGTTTACAAATGGCAACGTAATAGTCATTTGTAAAGTGTTAAGCACTTAGAATTTTCCTGCGGCTTTCTTAGGAGGCTTGTTTTTCGCCAGTAGGTACTTGTGATGTGCCGGAATGAGAGGGGCCGTCGCAGTGGGGGCGGGGGATGGTGACACCCTGTCTCGCGATTTTCGCTTGAATATCAGTTGCGCCGCAGTGGTTGCCGCGTTACCTCGTGTCTCGTGTTAATGTATCATTTCACATATGAAATAAAATAGTGAGTGGAATATCCGGTTACGTAATCGATTTTTGTTTTACAGTTCAGGGAAATCATTTTTCTGAAATGAAATTTTCTTACTCGTCTTATTACGAAAAATTATAAGGGATGTGATATAATTATTTGTTAAGTAAAGCTTTCAGCTTAATTCTATTTCCAAATTAAAGTTGGATTATTTGTATATTAAAAAAAACAATATTGTGCTTATTTTTCAAAAAAATGATCTAAAGTAACGTGATTTTAAACTCAAAATTGGTTGCTCTAAATTGTAACTTAATGTTATTTAGTAACCAAAAAGCAAGTATATTACATTTTATTGTTATATACTTACATATTTTTATCAAGTTAAATATAAGTAGAAGGTACATAGAGGATGCGCGTCGGATCACTTAGATGTCGAGCTTAATTGGACCGTAATGGTTACACTCTACCCTGTTGCGGCTGACAAGTTAAACTACCTATGTAGAGACAAACTACATAATGTAATAAATATATAAGTACTCCTTATCTTTTAAAATATCTTTTATATTGTATGAAATTTTCTATTTTAACATATGTTTATCTATACTAATATTATAAAGAGGAAAGATTTGTATTTTTGTATGTATTGAAATAACTTAACAACTGGGCCGATTTTAAAAATTCTTTCACTGTTAAAATGGCAATTTATCTGTGAGTAACATAGGCTATATTTATTATATCACGCGGACGAAGTCACAAGCTAGTAAACAGCTAGTGTTAGTTAAATAGCAACCGCCTAGTTATAGTTCTAGTACGTCCAGAACTTGACATACTGTATATTAGAATGATGATTTAATAAAATAACTTATTTCGAGGTCAAAATATTTAACTTGATAAAGTACTGTTAAGTTTCAGTTAAATTGAGTGGCGATGCAAACACTCTGTTCAAGTAGTTTTCAGTGAGAGTCATCGGGCCGACTGAAGGATCCTTGAGACTTGAATAATTCAATATTTTCAACGTTAAAACCTTTTTATTAGAATAAAACCGCGATAATTCAAAAGCAAACAACTGAATCATATTTCTAGAAAGCTTTTTATACCTATTTTATTTCAATAAAAGAAAAATGTTTAGTTTTGACCTCAAAACAATCAATATTCACAAATCATTAGTCGGCGAACTTCTAGTTCTGTGCTTGATTAATTTCAAGTTATTAAATTTGTTTTTATGACTTTCTTCATGTCAAATTATGAATATTGCATGTTTCTCTTTATTGGCGCAGCTCCAAGCAGGTAGCATTAGGCCCTTCTGTAAAATTGACCTACTTTGCACCGTGTTTTGTTTTTACCGCATTATTTTTTTAATTACACATTTTTTATGACTTTTGATGTATGTGTTTTTTTAATTAATTCTATAATAAACAATTTTCATTTATCAGTAATTAATATATAAAGAATTGTTGTCATTTTTTATATGTCACGAATTTAATGTTATAAAGAAATCCACTGTTGGCACAAACATCTATTTTCATTTGAAATATTGTTTTTTTTATTATTCATTATAGGTATTAAATAACGATTTTATGACTAGTATTAAGTTATTTTATGCATCGTCACGTTAGAGTACTTCAAGTTTGAGTAGAGATTAAGTTCAAAGCTGTTAACACCGCTTTGTCATCTGAACGCCTTTTGAACCATCAATTTACTCTAGATATCTATTGTCATATAGACGTTTAAAAGTTTTTGAACATTACATTTAAAAAGCTTTCTCGAAACTTTTGGTGAAAAATAGTAACGAAACTTGTCTATGAAATAAAAATATCTTACAAAATATAACAGGATTCATACTCAGTTTATTCACTTGTTTTTGAAAAAAGTAAAAAAAAAACACATATTCTTTCCTTTTTTAACTGAGAGAAAATTTAAAAATGTTTCACTTTTCTATTTTACTTGTAATAACACTCTAGTATTTTAATGTTAACCGAATAAGCAGGTGAACCCCATAAAAAACCTGTGCAATATAAAAACAGCCACTCGTAGCTCAAGCCGAGAGGGTAATTCGCAAACTGCTTGTCCGATGTAAAATAGCCGTGTTCAGTGATCGTATAACCCCGACATATCGACCCGACAAGTTTGGCTCTACGCCAAGCTAACCTTTGCCGACCTGTTGGTTGCTGAAGTTTTTACTTTTAAATTTTATCTAATGGCTTTCGTGAATGGAATATTGATATTCAATCTATATTTTTATTTTAATAGACTTCTGTTTTATTGCGAAGAAAATTATTTACAATATTTATTTGGCTATAAATATACGACTAACTAGCTGTCGCTCGCGACTCCCTCCGCGTGGCATTTAAAAAAAAATAAAGTAGCCTATGTGTTCTAGACTATGCCCTATATCCATAGTAAATTACATCCAGATCCAGTCAGCCGTTTAGGCTACAATCTCCAACAAACATCCATCCATCCATCTAAACTTTCGCATTTATAACATTAGTATTAGTAAGATAATATGACAACAATAATGGAAGTGCATTTGGCAACGATTCCTTATAAGTTGGCAAGAGGTTCTGCAATAACTTCGTATTTTGTTCTCTTTAAGTTAAATCAAATTAAAACAATAAGTAACGAACAATTTTAACGTGAAATTTTAATAAATAAGGACTTAATAAATTTATTTGTAAACCGAGTCTTCAAAGGCAACTTCACTAGTTAATTCGAATTTCAGTCACGATTTTGGGGCACTTTAATACTCCAATTTGATTAAAATAAGACGAGGGGCAAGTTAAGACGTGCTCTTACGAAATCTTATGGATAACAGAATATTTGAATTTTTTAACAACTGAATAAGTTAAAGATTCAAAAACATTTCACTAATTAGAATGTAAGTTAAGGAAATAACGTTTATTATGTTTAGTATTTACCTTTCGTATACTCACGAAATTAAATGCATACTCATAGTTGTGAATTCCATTTTAAAATGATCCCCTCATCATGAGATGAGCTTTACAATGGGATGACCTAAAAACATGCTGTTCGCTTTGTACCATAGAGTTTTTAATTCACGTTTTGCCGTACAGTAGTTTTAAAGATTTTACAAATTTTCATACAATATAACCTAAATATTGACCATTGCGTATTAGATGTTTTTAAATTCTTTAATAATGAAAATATATCACGGCCCAGGAATTAAATTTTTTTATAAAAAGTCTATCCAAAGTTGTATTACGAAAATATTCGTAATCCTTTTGTGTAACAATTTAAGTTTTGTTTTGTTTTTTGTAGTAAATTTATTAAATAATATGGATATCAAATAGCGAGAATTCCAAAGTTAAACAGTTGTTGTTTTGTAAAAGTTTTGTAAAAGATTAATTTGACAATAGTTTCGTGAAGTTGACTAGAGGAGAGACAGTGACAAGACAGAAGGTGGCGCTGTTGTAAGATGGAAGATAATGTTGACGGGGTCCATAAATATAGGTAAGTAAACACTACTATAACCACTGTACATTATATTGTCATCTCTATATTTTGCTTTATAAAAAAAGAGACAAATCATTTGTACAGTTGTTTCGGTAGTGAACATAAGTAGGTTGAAAAACTCTACATTCTTTCAATTGTCAATTTCATTCAAGGAAATTATTTAATCAGGCGGAAAATTCATTTTGATTTAGAGTGCGTTCATATCTTTGACTAAACTGTCACACTATTTAGTCGGGCTTTGATTCCTATTAGTTTATATGGAGGTGTGCACACTACTGGATTATGTATCTATACTATTATAATAAAGCGTAAACACACACTTTCTTGCCTAAGATGTCAGCAATTACAGCATATTTTTGAATAACTCTTTTTTTAATAAGCTCTACGCTTACGTCACGCTATATATTTTCACGCCATTAAACTTAGGAAGTAAATATATTGGATAAAAATCTTAATGTGGGAAAGAGACCATAAGTTGCTGCCAACATCATGGAAGCAAGGTTTCCATGGTTTGTCAACATGTCATGTTATTTTGACATTTGCAATTGATAATTTGACACATGTAAACAATAAAAAAAAATTCATAATTTTATGCCGATGAAGTCGCACGGGCACAGCTAGTTCGTTGTACAACTAAACAGTTGAATCGGCTGCGAAACAATTGACAATCGCTTCGTTGTCCGATAGTTTAGTCAAATGTCTGCTCTTAATCTTTAACAGAATGCTTGCAAATTTCATATTTTATAAGTAACGAGAGGTTGTCGTATAAATATTTACTGCGGCACGATTCTGTCGAGAAATTGGTTATCCCGAGGTCGGATCAATACAGAAAGGTTTTCCCGAGGGACGTCTCACCCACGTTACATCTCACCGGACGCTGGAAGTTGTATAATCTTATAAATATTTTCTATAATAAAACCTTTTTGTTATTATATTTTTTCTAGATTTCATAATAATAAATTATAAGAGTAATGAAAAAATATCTGTATCAAGCTAATTAAAAAAAAATTTAAAACAGTAATCTTTGATTTAAGTTTTAACACAGTTTTTATGTAAGTATTATCTCATTATTAATGTTTTCAATTAAAATTTATTTTAAAAGTTAGATCAAATTGACTCAGCCTACTACGTAATGCAACATCAAGCCTACATACTTTACATTTTTGTGTAACAGTTTTGAACCTTCAGGATGTTTTCAAGGCCGCGCACCGCACAGGATCAATACTGGCCGGGAAGATGTTTGCTCTCTCATTAAGAAGGTTTCCCAAACGTTGTCTTTTCAACTAGAGCTCTATCGATTTGCTTTCAAAGACTTAAATAAGTTGTTCGAAAGAGATAAGTTATATACAATGTTACAAACGAAATTAAATAATCAAATGTTATTATTGATTTAAAATTTGCATATTTAGAGTATATTTTAATACAACACATTAAGTTGACTAATTATGTATTACTGTTGCTTGCGACTTCGTACCCGTGAAATAAAAAAAAATATAGCCAATGTTACTCATAGATAAATTACCTTTCTAAAGGTGAAGGAATTATTAAATTCGGACCAGTAGTTTTTGATTTATTTCAATACAAAAATCCAAATCATTTTTCTTTATAACGTTAGTATATATAACTATAAAAGCTGTAAAATGTTTTTAACAACAGTAAAGTTTTCCACTGAATTAGTGTCAGGTTTCAAAGGGTAATTTCCCTTGAACTGACCCCCGCTATCGATCCGCCCGCAAGTATGAGTATCCACATGACTGGGGCTGTGGTCAGTGGTCACACATTGATACACGCTTCATGAAATCTTCTTCAACAAACTGAATTTTCCAACATAAGTAAAGTAACTCGGTAACAAAAGTATCCACAACTAATGTACAAATTACTTACATAATTAAACTTGTAAACTTTTTTCTATACCAATATTATAAAGAGGAAAACTTTGTAATGAATAGGCTCAAAAACTACAGAGCCGATTTTAAAAATTCTTTCACCGTTAGAAAGGTAATTTATTTGTGAGTAACATGGGCTATATTTTTTCATTATTTATATATTATTATTTTTAAATTTCACGCGGACGGAGTCCCAGGCAAAAGCTAGTTTTTAATAAAAATTTAGTTTCAATTCAGTCAAAGTAACAATCATACTAAGGGATAACTATAATATATACTAATAAAGAGGAAAGATTTGTATTTTTGTATGTATTGAAATTACTCAAAAACTATGGGGCCGATGTCAAAAAATTCTTTCATCAATCAAGCTACGTTATCATTGAGTAATATAGGCTAATATGCGAGAAACAACTAATCACGAATAATTGTCTATTCTAATATTATAAAAAGGAGAGATTTGTATTTTTGTATGTTTTGAAATAACTTAAAAACTACTGTTCCAATTTTAAAATTCTTTCGCCGATATAAAGGTAATTTATCTGTGAGTAACATACACTATATTTGTTTTTATTTTTTAATTTCACATAGACAAATCGCGAGCAACAGCCAGTAATTAATACAATTGATTGTCTTTCAACAAATGTTTAGTTTATTCTTGTGGTTTTAACTACAATTAAAAAATCACTAAATTAAATGTTACATCTATTAAGATGACGATTTTATAATGTCGTACCATTAGGGCAGACAATATAATTAACAATTGTGTGTTGGGAAAATTGTTATTTCGGTAAAAGCAAATAACTTCTTGCTATACCCGTTCAAGCCCATTTACTACAAGCGATAAAAGTACGCAATTCCCGTAGGTTTATGGGTCAAGGATATTTTTAGGGAACGTATAAAACGGTCGACCTTGTCCCTTTATTCTGACGACCTTTTCCTTTTATTCTTTAGGATAAATGTTCCTAAATAAAATTCCATTATTCAGAAAAAAAACAGGAATGGTTTTAGGTCTACGGGCTCTGAAAAAAAAATCCGTTATAATCAACGTATTTGATTTTTCTATTCCTTGTTTTAAAAAATGAAACCATTTTATACGAAAATTACTAATTATCTTAACCGAAAACAAAAAGTATAGTTGTAAACGTAATAAGCACATAACCTACAACAAAGCAATAACCAATGTGAATCGTTTACCATAAAATACATCACTTAAGTTTGTCGCAGCTATTAATTCTTAATGGAGCCTTGCTCGTTAAAGCTGTTTAGAAAGTGAAATCATTTTTCGTTTAATAATAACAGCTGTTACATCTGTAATGCTATTCCATTGACGAAACATCGTATGTTGCTATTTCATATTTTTACAAATAAAAAGAAAGAGATGAAAAATGTTTTCGCATATTTTGCCAGTGGAAATTCACAGTAAGAGAGTAAGAGCGCACACCTTCGAATAAACTGTGCAAGACTTGTGCGATTGTCGATTGTTTCGTAGTCAATTCAACTGTTTAGTTGCACAACTAAAAATCGAGTAGTATAACCTCCATATAAGCTCATAGGAATCAAAGCGCGACTAAACAGTCGTGCGATAATTATGTCAAAGGTGTGTGAGCGCGTTAATGTTACTGAAATGTACATTTTCATACCGATGTTGATACCTTTGTCGTCTTCAGTAAATTCATTGCATTTTTCACATTATACTTTCTGGAAAAAATATGGGAGATTTTTATATTTAGCAATAAAAAATACATAAAAATGGCATTTATTATTCATTGCTGTGTACTAAATTCTAAGTAAAACGAAAAAGGTTCAGTTAATTAAGAGGTGAAGTACAGAATTGTTGAGTGCTGCGTTTCAGAAGGGTCAAGAGGGAGGGAAGGGGAGACCTCGGGGGAAACTTGCTCGGATTAATTTTCTGGAAATGAATATAAACTGCGGTTAGTAAACATTCGTTCGCCGCCAAATTGCTTCTTGAATATTGTATTTCTTTGAGAAGTTTTCATTTTTAGAATCTTCAAAGCATTTACATTTCATATTTGTATGTCGATCTGTGTATTTGGTGTTTATTTTCTTAAAATAAAACTAAAACAAGTGACTGGAAACCATTTTTTTTCGAAATAAGTGGCGCTTTGATTCCTATAAACTTATATGGAGGTGCGCACACTACTCGATGTTTTAGTTGTGCAACTAAACAGTTGAATTGGCTGCGAAACAATCGACAATCGAACAACAGTTGTGCGACAGTTTTGTGGCAGGTGTGCGCCCGCTCTTAGGCGTAAATCATACTCGAGGAAAACATTTTCCTGTATAGTAATAAATATTATTTATCTCTTCATATGGCGTTTGTAGGGCAAACAGCATCCCGGGCGGGGAGTATCGATCGGGGTCGGCCTTGGATGCGCCTCTGCCTTGCCCCATAGTCCGCTAGCTCCTACTACTCGATGTCAATAGCGCTGCCACTAAGTGTACTTGCAGTAAATTGTCAAATTACAAAAGGAACAAAATTAGATCTGATTTTGTTATTTCGTATTTAAGACGCAGGTTATGTCCCTTAATTTTTGAATTAAATGCAAATTAATGTTTTCAGGATACATTTACATATTTTTAGGTGCATTCTGCTCTTTTATTGACCGACTTCCCAAAAGAAGGAGGTACTCAATTCGTCTGTATGTTTTTTTAAAACAAGGTGTAGTCGCGACTTTGCTCGCGCGAAATTAAAAAATATAGCATAAGTTACTCACCGATAACGTGTCTTTTTAATGGTGAAAGAATATATAAAATCGATCCAGTATTTTTGAGTTATTTAAATACACATAAAACACTTTTCTCTTTATAATATAAGTGTAGATTAAATAATACCCCAGCACTAATATTATTAATGGGTTCTTCTTACATTCTTATTCCTTATCAATTTGTATAAATATTCGAATCGTAATATTTTGCCACATTCTCTAACGTTCGTATTTCTCGACAAAATGTATCATTCAGCTGGAGCGTAATCTGCATGCTTCAGAATTCACTTTGACGATGCATTTCTGTCAAAGGTTGACAGTATAATATTAATGAGGTCGTTATTAAACTACGAAGCTATGAATAAGTAACATCCTGTACGTAAAGTTGCAATACGTAATAAATATAAATGTAACCGAGTTTTGTGTTTGATTTTTTGTTTTACATTCAGTTCGTCGAGAATAGAAATAGAAATAGAAATAATTTTATTGAAAAATAATAACAGTTATACTAACTAAAAGATAATTACAATTTGTGGTTAATATACGATTAATTAACATGGTAATGGTAACAATATTATTGTTCCTCAGTTGTTAAAACAATAAAAAATTCACTATTGACTGTGTATTTGAATACATTATTATAATTTTTTTTAACGAAATTAACTATTTGGTACATTGAAAATCCTTGAAGATTCTTACCTAACCGTCAATTTCAACCTGAATAGCCACAAATGTCCTTCAAATATCTTTAAATAATACAACAATGTATAGCTTCTATCGACACTTAGCCGTGGAGTCACGGATCAAGGTCAAATCGACGCAATCAATACTTTAGCACTCGACGGCCGATCCATTGTGCGAGTGATCGGGAATCTGGATAGAATATCGATTTATAAGCAAGATATGTATTATTATACGCACGTTTAGTTCACGATATTGTTACTTATTATAAAAAAAAATCTTTAAAGCTTATATCAAATTGAAATTTTAGAGTTTCACCGTATTAACCTCTACAGACTATAGTTATTCGGATTTATAAGTATTTTGTATTAGTCTGCCAAATCAGTAACTGAAGCCAAGGTGTTATAAAACACTTTAAACCGAGATAATTCCAAATTTAAATACGAATATTGCAAATATTGGAAGACACAATAAACTAGTTGCTCTACGTAGTCGTTGAATTATTTTAAAATTGGAAATATGGATAGGCTTTTACTAAACTAATGCAGATCCTCTGGTATTTCAGATGTCCTTGGACGTCCACCTCCGTGATTCAGCTGCTAGGTTGACACCTTAAATAAACTAAAGCGCACTTTCCTTGACATAAATGCTTCTTATCAAGCGGTCAAGCTCATGTATTCACCGATGTTCCAGAACTTCGCTACCAGTGGCACAGTTCAGCCGCGGCGACTTCTCGTTGTGGTCGGTGTTGAAAAACTGCGTGGGCAAGGAGCTGTCCAAGATCACGATGCCGGTGGTGTTCAATGAGCCGCTATCGTTCCTACAGCGTATGCTGGAGTATCTGGAGTATGCTCACCTGCTGCGACTTGCTGCCGAACAGACAGACCCTGTCGCCAGGATGGAGTATATTGCGGGTATGAAATAACGCTAAGTCATCAGATCAAGTGACAGACTAACAACAGACCACTGTAACCGCAGTCTGCGGTCATAACGGAGTCCACTTATTATGAAGTCCTGCGTTGACTGCCACTGGTTTACTAAGTCTTTTAGACACGCTTACTTATTGACCACTCAGTATTCATTATGGTGGCCATCGATACAGAATAGAGTTCTTCAGAGGTTCCTGCAAAGTAAAATGAAATAATTATCTTAATTCGATGGCTATTGTTTGTACAGCGTTCGCGGTGAGCGCTCTGGCGTCGAACTGGGAGCGTTTGGGCAAGCCGTTCAACCCGCTACTCGGCGAGACATACGAACTCGAGCGGCCAGAGTTCAGAGCTGTTTGCGAACAGGTAAAACAATTTTAATATGATGATAAGCGCCTGTTGAAATCTTAATAGCAATAACCCTGCACAACACAACACAGACACACACATTAACAGAATTAATTTTTTAGCCCCATTCGACGTTCTAAACTCATATTGACCACCAGGTGTCGCATCATCCGCCGGTGTCGGCGTTCCACGCGGACAGCCCGCACTTCGTCTTCCACGGATCTGTACACCCCAAACTCAAGTTCTGCGGCAAGAGCGTCGAGATACAACCCAAAGGACACGTAACGGTTGAACTGCCCCGGTGAGATTTTTAGATTTGAAGATAGTTTTTATAAACCAATAAACCAAACCAACCAAATTTTAATAAGGGTAATTGAATAACATCCAAGTTAATTGCACGTCTGTTTTTAACTTCACTTTTTTTAGAATTCTACTAAAGACTTTAGATGCCTAACATAATCATCAGGCTTTATCAATCGATTACTGACCGTATTTGGGCGATAGTCTAGATAAGATTGTGTGTGTAGATGGGGTGAGGCGTACACGTGGAGCAACGTGAACTGCTGCGTGCACAACGTGATCGTGGGCAAGCTCTGGATCGAGCAGTACGGCGCGATGGAGGTGACGTGCCACGGTGGGGCCGGCCTCGCAGCCAGCCTCGTCTTTAAGCCCGCCGGTTTCAACAACCGAGACCTTCACAGGGTTGACGGATTTATTACTGATGCCAGGTAAGTACACAATATTATTCTTATTACATTGTATTTAACACAGAAATGAAAGAGAACAAACTAACGGACTGGTATGCAAGCGCACAACTAAAATGGTACTCACAATGGGACACCCCTTCATAAATGGCGTACAAAAATGGTGCAATGGTTTATTCTGATTGCAAACTATCTTTTATTTTACCTTAATTAGTGGGTGTTGTTTGTAGTAAGAAGAAACTGCGCTTCGTGTACGGCAAGTGGACGGAGTACATCCGCAGCTGCAGCGCGGCGGCGCACGAGCGCTGGGCGCGGGACCAGGCCGCTGCTGAGGCCGCACACACGCCCAAGAAGGTCCTCGCCAAACTCAACAGCTTCAAAGTCGGTGCACTTCGCTCCATGTCTATCCAGGATGTCAGTACACATTATCATTCACTATTTGATGTTAAATTCAATTTATCGCGTTATATTAATTTGGAACGTGTTTAATTCCAGACTGAGGAGGCTGAGAACTCGGAGGACGTGCCGAAGCCGGACGAGTCGTACAACATCGACATCCCGGGCTCCACCACGCTGTGGGAGGCCACACCAAGGCCTAGCAATAGCGCACAGGTAATATACACATTTGGAGCGGAGGCACAGCTTTGACTAAACTATCGCACAACTGTTTTGTCGCGCTGATTCCTATGCGCTAACATGGAGGTTTGCATACTACTCGATTTTTAGTTGTGCAACTAAATAGTTGAATGGGCGGCGAAACAACCGACAATCATACAACATTTATGCAATAGTCAAAGGTGTGTGACCGCTATTATATGTACATTATCGAACACTACAGAAACCCAGCCAACACATTCAACACATATTCTCTACAAAATATTTAACTATTAAGAATATCAATCTGTTTCTAGTATTACCAGTTTACTGAATTCGCGATGTCACTCAACGAGTTGGACCGCGAGCTGAAGGGCCAACTGTGCCCTACCGACAGCCGACTGCGGCCCGACGTTCGCCTGCTGGAGCAGGGCGACATCGACGGCGCCGCGGCCGAGAAGACCCGCCTCGAGGACAAGCAGCGCACCGCCAGGAAGACGCTCAAAAAGTCTGCTGACGGCTGGCAACCGAGGTACGGGTCTTACGAATGTTCACGTAAAGTTCGTAACCACACAATCGTAAATGACTATGAATCTATCGATTGCAAATTCTATTAGAATATAAATCGAAAATCGAAAAGATTCATGGCTACTACATTGTCAAATAAATTGTACAAATAATCTATTTTACTTAGACAAACAATAAAATTAAATTGTTTTATTGGTATTTGTATTTGACATTTACAGATGGTTCAGTCAAGGCACAAACCCCTACACGAAGCAGGAGGACTGGCTGTACAACGGCGGCTACTGGGACCGCAACTACCAACATTTGAAAGACGTCGACATATTCTAATTCTATAGCAAATAATATAGTAGGAGTATATCATATTTTTGTGCCGCTAAGCAATGTGTAGAAAATGTAGAAATATATGTTATACATAAATGAAAAAGCAAGCAAATGTTATTTATAATGTTCATACGATGTCAAATTGCATGCATACGTTAACCAAAGAGGTGAATTAATTGTGGCAGGCATTGCTTCAAGATTTGAATATAAAAGTAAAACAAACATAATGTGAGCTTAATGGAAATAATATAATAGGGAAGATTCAAAAGTCTTTATCAAAATCTTTATTGATTTCCTGTACTTCTGTACATCTTTCCATTGTTAATTACACGTAAGCATTCAGTTGTTTTATTATATTAAATTATTACGATAGTTATTTGTTTTTAACTATTTTTAAAACTTATCATTAGTAATTGTGTTGTTTTGAGATAAGTATTTAATAAGAAAAGAAACTCCAGTGCAGTCTTACGTTATTGTTTTTTAATGCTTTCGATATGGAGAAATTGGATAATTACAGTAAAGGCGTTTATTTTTTATAATTCATTTACAGAAATACTAGTTAGTTATTCATTAACAAATATAATTCGACGACTGGCTAGCCTTGACGAAAGTTAATTTTAGCTAGTTGTAATTTATAGAGCTAAAAATACTTTAAACTCTTAATTAGCAATTCAAATTCTGTCATAATTCTGATTTATTTTATGCATTTGAATTTAAAAATGATCATAATACAGAACATGTTTTTGCGTTAAATTGATAGCTTGTCCTTGACGGTTATTTATAGAATTTATGATGAGGTGAGGATAGCTCATAGTTCGTTATTTTTAAATAATCACTCTTCCTGTACTAAATGATGCTAAGATTTGATCTCGGTAATAATTCGACATTTTATTGTTAAATAAAAATAATTCCAACTGTACATTTAGTTCAAGATTATAAATATCAGTGTTTTAGCATAGTACCATGTTTAAATGTTACTGTGTTTAGTTTCGTGTGTAATTTTCAATTATTTTTTGACAACTCCATACTGTTTTTGGAACTATAACAATGACGTTGCAAATAGTTGTAATTATTCATGTACTTTGTTAATGTTTTTTTTAATGTACGATACGTTTTAAAAACAAGATAGATGTAAATAATTTTATGTAAACATTCCAAATCAGCCAATTTGTTAGTAATTAAAGAATATAACCTCAAACATGGTACATTTATACAATTTAATTAGTAATTGTTTAAGTTATGCAATTGCCTTTGCCTCCATTTTATATACTGCTCTATAAGAATCTCCATTGTCTACGGACGAGGCCGGGATGATGTTTAAGTTGGTCGACATCTGTTTGAGAAAACAGTTGGACAACTGAGGTTTTGAGAGTTAGACTTATGGGGCGTTATCGTCGCTTCGCGACAAAACACCCCGTAGAAATAAATTAAAAAAAAAAGAATCTCCATTGATGGATTACGTCACGGAGGACGTCACCATCATCATATACTATGTAACTTCCAAAAAAGATGTCGACGTTTCGTAGAAAATATATTGTGAATAAATTGTAGTAAAAATTTAAATGTATATCCAAATAAAAGGATTCAATTAGAACATTATTTTTATTTTATGTCTTACTATCAAACCATCTTAGAATAATTTTTCTTTAATAAAATATTTTTTATAGTTTTTTTTTTTGTACGGAAAGATTTAAAATATTGTTTTGGTAGCTTTTGAGAATGTATTTGGAATAGCTGCCCCCACTCACACACTTGACTTTGCCAAGAACATAGGCGACGCCAGTGCGTTATAGGCTTGGCCAAATTAAGTTTTTTAACCTTCCATGATGCATATCGTAAATTGTTTTAAGGGAACGAATATACAAAAATGTATTTAATGATTTATTTTTTACATTTTCTCTTACAACATCAAAACCTTACAACTATATCACTCAGACATCACAATTAACATTATTAAAAATATATAAAGTTAATAATCTGCAATATTAATAACTGTATAGATTAAAAAACATTAATGGCACTATTAAAAAATTGTTGAAAATTTGATTTACTATTAATATTGAAGATAAAAAATATATTAAACCAGTTTCATATAATCACATCTGTAGTAAGCATTTATTTACATTATTGTCGTAAAAAATGCATAAAAATAGGTACAACAGCTAAATAATTACATATATTTTGTTGCGTTTTAAACACATAATAGTAATTTAATATTAAATCTGTATTACTCGTAATAAAATCTCCCGCCATAAAATCATAAATAGTACGATATTGTAAAAAATATTTTTTTAAACACACATACTAAAATACATAGCATTTTTAAATATCTCTAATTACATCATTTTACGCATTATTTACTATTTTACAGTACATATAATTTATTTAAAATAAAAACTTAGATTTAATTCTGGTTTAAATTATTTTTTGAAAAAAATCCAACACCGATGGTATATCTACTTATATTTTGGGATAACGAAAAATTTTTGTCAAAATTTTGTACTAATTATAAGTAAATGAGAAAAATAAATGTAAAATTATTCATCATATTACATAATTTAATTAATTATTAAAAATACGTGTAAACTAATACAATAGAATTTTTTTTATCTTTACACGGAAAAAATGTTACACAATTTGATAAATTTAATTATTTCACACAATTTATTTACGTAATAAATTATAGATAATACGAGTAGTAACATTTTTAATTACCAGAGATTTTTGTCTCTAAATCATTTTGAAACACGTTAATATTTCAAAGCGTTGAAACCCTAATTAGATATTTTGCTATTATTTTTTTCTTCTATTTTTTTTAGTTCGGCCTGCAGATATATTTAACTTAATAAACATTTATACAAGTTTTAAAACTTATAATACACAAAATAGTAATTCTTAAATAATTCAAATTAATGTGCCTCAAGGCCGGAATCCAGAAAGTCTTTGAGATGTAGGGGCACAGCTCGCGGCATGGTTCGACAAATCTGGAAAAAAATATTAAAAAAATACGGAGTTTTTTTTTGTATTTTTTTTACTTATTAATTAACTTTACTAATTAATTTGACTCCAAATTTAGTATTTTTTCTGGTTAAAAAAATAATCGGTAGATTTTTTTAAAATTCAAACAAAATTTAAATTTCAATCCAAGGAAACGATAACACTTTTTAATGGTTCTAGTTAGCGGTGAAATTATTCAATATTGATAAAATACCGTTACTTTAAACTAGAATTACAAGTTTTAGCAAGTTTTATTAATATGCTTAATATTTAGACATATTTGGAGAATTATACGTTACTTTTAGCATTTTGAAATATATTTATGCAAAACAGAATAAACACAAATAAAGGTAGCATTCGAGAAATATAACTAACTACGAAGATTTTTGTTCTCAATATTTACATTTGTCAGTCATCGAAAACTTCTTTACTCGGATTACGTAGCTTCACTGTTAATCGTCAATTTTTTAAGATCAGCGCTTGACCAAGATCCCCCTATAGTTAAGTGGTACTGTGGATGGAGGATTAGGTAATTTATTAAATAGTATTGCATATCCTAATTTACTTATTTACCTGTTGAACCTACTCCCATCGTTCTGTTCCCTTCTTACCTGGTTAATATAGTAGAGAGAGCTTGGTATGGTAATCTCATGATAGTTTCTACGCACGGCATCCACGATATTGTCAGCCGCCTCCTGCGGCGACAGGATCTTCATCAGCGATGGAAACTTGATCTTAGGGTTCTTGCAAAGACCAGTGTCCACGATGTACGGACAGATCGTCGTCAGCTTGATCTGAATACACAGGGAAGACAAGAATGTGAATCGTCATCCATTTGACAAGGTGGAAATAATTGAAAAACATCATGTCTGAGGAGTATGTAAGCCTAATTGTGGAACATAGAAATTTCCTTTGTTAATTACAGAAAAACTAACTAGGACGTAATGAAGTAAAAGACAAACACGCACAAATTTAGTAATTACCACCATTTCTTCATCAAAGTAAGGAATACATTTTAGCAAAGTCCATAACAGATTTCCCTATTAAATTAAATAGTTACATTGTCTAACAATAACTTACACCACTAAAATCTCTTTTGTCCTCGCGCAGTTCCTCGTGCAAGGCCTCCATGAGGCCGCGGACCGCGTACTTGGTGCCGCAGTAGGGGACTAAGTTGCGAAGACCAACCACGCCAGCCATGGACGACATCGCTACGATATGGCCGTGGTTGGTTTCCATCATGTGCGGCAGGAAAGCTTGGATCAACTGATAAAATTGTAATTGTTATGTAATGCCTATAGCTTCGTTAATAAAAACACATTATCTTCAGCACTTTCATACCCAAAGCTGTGCCAACACGTTAACGTCGAAGACAGTGCGTATCTCCTTGTCGCTGGTCTGCAGCAGCGGCTTGCAGGGCATGATGCCTGCGTTGTTCACCAACATAGTGACGTCACCGATCTCGCGTCGGATCTTTTCTGCGAGCTCGTTGATCGCGTCTCGGTCTGTGACGTCACATCTGTTCACATAACCAATAGATGTTTTTACGCTAATTCACTGTTTTGTTTTTAATTATTAGGAAGACGAGCCGTGAAATATTCCATACTCCTTTTTGGAATGTTCTGGAAGAATGGTGAAATATCTCATAATATCCTCAGTACGATCACGAGTTTTTAAATTCCAAGCAGAGATTAAATATTGTCAAAAATTTTAAGGAAAATCCAACGAATTGTCTAGAAGGTTCTTAGAATATCAAAATAAATTTTATTAGACGTAGCAACAAAGACAAAGGTATTTGAACTAACATTTACCTCATAAATAATTCGACGGACACACGTGCAAACAATTGCTTATTAAACATGACGGATTTGGTACAATATGGTAAACCGTCATTAGCGATTCTCGCACATTTTGTTAGCGTTTGAGACGGAAATTTTAGATAAACTGCGCAAAATCTGGCGTCAAATATTACAGAATTATACTTTTTTTGATTTTTTAACATCATTCCAGTCTTATCTTGTTTACAAAATATAGTTTTAATAAAAAAAGTGCAGTTTCTTCGCTTATACTATTGTATCATGAAGGACCTGGACTTTTGATCAAACTTTGTTAATATGTTCTGAAGATGCCAGAACAAGTTTGGGTTAAAAATTTCAGAAGATGTAAAATGTTTTCAGTTTTAAATTTTTTGTTGTAAGAACGCATTACAAGTTTATATAGTAACTACTTCATAAAGCACATTCGTTCCGCTCGTTAAGTATTATTTGTTGAAATAATTCTCGTCTCCTACGTTTCATGACGACGACATGATATAGCATATTATAGTTAAAATTCAAGGTTATATTTATATACCTGATACGATAGGCACTAAAATTTTCAAGTAAATTAGTTTTTGCCCGCGACTTCGTTCGCGCATTAAAAAACTATTTAGTAAGTCACCACCTATTTGTTCTTTTCTATGTTCTACATCTAAGCCAACTTTCATAACAAACATCCATCCATCCAAAGATGCATTTATAGGTAAAATTAGTATGATAATATGAAATGCTATCTTCCGCCCGCAACTCCTGCGTGGGAATAAAAAAAAAACAAAATTGAATAAGACAAAGGTACTGCGTTCTCAACCGTTTCAACAAATGATTTATTTTTCTCCTTCAAGGATTTTCCTGTAGATTTTTTCTTTACTGTGAAAAGAAGATTATGTACCAACTGAAATTCAATGCCGTCTAATTATGTAGATGCTTCTATTGTAAAAACAAATCAAAAACAATGCATAGTTTTAGGTAATCCAATAATTATAATCAAGGACTCAATGCAACAGCGTAATTTAAATACAATGATCAAGTTACATTATCTCTGGTTGACTTGTATTCATTCTGAATTAACTTGTTTATTTATAAACTAGTTTGCGGCCGCGACACCGTCCGCGTAAAATTAAAAAAGTATATGTGTTCATCCAGGCTATCCTCTACATCTATGACAAATTTCATCGAAATCCTTTCAGCCGTACTGACTACAAAATTTAACAAACATCCACCTAAACTTTCGCATTTATAATGTTGTATGAAGTATGATTGTAGCCATTTATTTCTTTGCATTCTGATACATTAATGTTAAAATTACTTCCGAATACACGTTTAGTGGTGCATCAACAAATTGTTTAGAAAATCGGCAAATGACTGATTCAGAAGTGCATTTAGATGGCAGAAAAACATGAAGAAAAGAATATCTTGATTGCTTGAAGCAGCATAAGTATTTCTGAACAAATTCTTCTTCTACAGCAAGCCTTGGGATATAAATGGCTCCAAAAAGTGCTTGTGCAGAAAACAAGGGGAAAGCACTACATCTACTGACCCAAGATAGTTAGAACAAATAGACAGATGTTATAAAATTGAACATTGCAGCGGGTTAAACTGTAAATTTAGCTTAATGTTTCTAGAAAAAAGTTACTTACTGATAAGCATATGCCTTCCCCTCTTGACCCTTGACCATGTCGACAGTCTCCTTGTTGCCGGCGGGGTTGATGTCAACGCATACCACGACGCCGCCCAGCTTACCGAAGCGCTGCGCCATCTCTCGTCCCATGCCGTGGCCTGCTCCTGTTATCTACACATAAGGAGAGATCCTTTTAATCGACTTCCAAAGGAGAGGGTTCTTTATTTGTTCTTATTTCTGTTACAAAATCAGTGTTTGTTGTTCTAATATTTTCAGGCAAAGATTGTCCTTTGTTCACTTTTTTTTTTAATTTATTCTCTTTTATTATAATTTCTTCGTTTAACAATCTAAGGAACATTTCCTCTTCTTAATTTTAACATCCCGTAGTTTTAAAAAAGAATAAAAAAATGTAGAAAAAGCCATTGATTGACCGTCCAACATAACTATAAATAGTTTATTGAGGACGCAAAATCCGTTTCTCACAACGTACCAGTATAATCTCTCCCTTGACATTCTTCGGTTCCGGTGGAAAGAAGAACTGTATGATGGCAAGCGTCCAGGTGATGTTCATCTTGATAGCGAGGACGAAGATCTCTACGGCCAGCATCACACCCTGGTATACCTTCATCGCGATGCCTTGCTCGTCCGTCCTGGAATTAAAATAAAAATCAGTAGGCGATTACAAATTTCTGTTACACATTCCTGTCGTCCTCTCTGGCTTCTTCCGTATTCGTGTATCTACGCATACATGCTCTTTGAATAAGTGTGACTTTAATAATCTGTTTACGTGGTTTCTAGCCTGTTTTTGGTCGGTATTTTGTCGATTTTGATCTATACATAAAATAAATGAAGTGTCTGTTTGTAATATCAAAAGAAAAATCTAGATTTCGGGAAAATGATGTATTTGGGTTGCTGACAACGAAAATCACATTTAATTTTTTTTTGGTCGTCTGTCCGCAAGCCGCGTTTGTTCCGGGTAATCTCCGAAAAGGCTAGGCTGGTTTCGACCGGACTTTCACTAAAGGATAGCTGACATAGACGAGCATATGACATATTGTAGGCTTTTTTCTTTTATCTTAATATTGCGTAGACGAAGTTGTGGGCCACAATTAGTATTATATTAAATTAAAGGATAACATTTTACACAAATGAAATCATGACATCACATGCATAAAATTTTTATGTAATAATAACACTACCAAGTTTTAAATAATCAAAGAGTTTATTAGCAAACTGATCGTAAATAATACTGACGCAAATTTTATCTAAAAATACATGCAAATGTTAAATCTTCTGTCTGATTTTGTTTTTTTTTTTCAACTTTGTATATTAATTAGGGTTCTTTGTCAAAATACGAGGAACTTCTAAACTATGTGACGCTTCCTTGTATCCTAATTCAATATTTGGTCGCGGGCCAGTCGTTTATTGAATATTCAATTAAGTAAAGACTAAAATAACAGACTCCATAATTAAATGATCAATAGATTGGTCATGAAATTAGTAAGCATTAAGCATTCTATCTATACCTATATCTATCATACTCTATACTATTATAATAAAGCGTAAACACACACACACACACACAGATTTATGAATAACTCTTTTTTAAAAAAAAAGCCCTACACTTACGTCACACTTTAGGCTATATATTTCACGACATTAAACTTAGGGGTTAATATCTTGGATGAAAACCCTAATGTGAGAAAGAGACCATAAGTTGCTGCCAACATTAAGCAAGGATGAAGTCGCACGGGAACAGCTAGTCAATTATAAGCGTGATTATTCTTAAATGTATCATACAGTATTAAAATTTATGATTTAAAAAAATTGATTGTTCATTTAATAAAAAAAAATGAAATAATAAAAAAAATCTTCTTTGTTTGTGCGCATTGTTAAAAACATGTTAAAAAAAGTTTGAAAAAAAAAACAATGTGTATTATGCATGTGAGGAAAATGAAATAATCTAGTTAAACTGGTTTAACTTTAAGTCAATGTTTTTTTATATTTTCCTCTTGAGTAAAGTCCAGAAGTAATTTAAATTATCTTTATAAATGCACAAGGAATGCATGTATGTATAAAATAATTGATTTGGCCTCACACGAACAAAATATGTATGTAATTATTTTAAACTAGCTGTTCCCATACGACTTCATACGCGTAAAATTATGAAAATTTTATTTTGTTATTTATACGTGTCAAATGATCAATTGCAAATGTCAAAATGACATGAAATGATGATAATGCTTCCTTGATGTTGGCAGCAACTTATGGTCTCTTTCCCACATTAGGGTTTTTATCAAAAATATTTACCCCTAAGTTTAACGGCGTCGAAATATATAGTCTAAAGCGGTACGCAAGCGTAGGGCTTTTTATAAAAAAAAACATTATTCAAAAATATGCTGTAATTGCTGACATCTTAAGCAACAAAGAAATGTGTGTTTACGCTTTATTATAATAGTATATGTAGATACATTAAGTAAACACTATTTGTAATACGTTAATAACATTTTTTGTATGATTAGATTTTTGAAGCACCTTATTACGAATACGTCTCGCAACTGTCACGCAAATATTCGTGATAGACCCTCTAATGCCTCCGTTAGATAAAAAATGAACAAATATTGTTCAACAAGTTTTCGTTAGTAATAATTGTATGTAGCCATACAAGTTAAAATTAATAAATTACGAGTAAGTGGTTAACCGTTCGCAACCGCAATTTTTATGTCGCGTTTTTATATCCACTGACGCTAACGCCATTCCTTACAAAATGACAGCCTCAGTCAGAGTATCTTAACTAGCTACTTAGTGGCTAGTGGAAATAAACACTAAGAAACAACAATTGAATTGTATTATTGCATACCTATTATACCTAGGTATGATCATTCCAGTTTGTATTGCGCAGAACAAGTCATTGGAAAAAACACGGCCTTTTCAAATGTCACGTAGAATAAAGAACGGAAAAAAGTTTTACACATATGTACAAAATAGTATCTCTCAGTGTGTCAGTCCTACCAAATTGTAAATTATCTGATAACAATCGAACGTGTAAAATATGTGATGGAAATATTGGATTTTATTCCCTTATCTGATAGTGACGTCATTTTTAAGCTATCTGAGCCTCTATCAGCCAGTGGTGGGACAAGACATTAGTGTAGTTTTACTGCAGTGTTTTATTACTAGCAAAAATTTGAAAGTTTACTTTTATTTCTTCTAACTATCGCATGTATGCTTGATGTTTGTGCTCGGATATGGTTCAAAACAGTTCGAAAAACATTGGTTTTGACGCTAGCTTTCGCGATGTCGAAATAATCATGTTTATTCGATTTGCTCAGGCATCTTCAAAATCGCATCACCACGACCACAACAAAACAGATCGGGAGCGACTGGCTTCAACGATGACGGATAGAAATGATGCGTGTCTGTTCACGAAACTATGACAAACGTAAGTCGTTTAGTGACTAAAATCTGCACATTTCAAACATCTTGGATACAAAGGGCCTAAGTATGCGTTATAATAAACATAGACTTTGGAATTCAGGATATTTGCTAAACTCAACTCGTTAAATAAATATAAAATATTTGAATTTATCATAACAGTACTCAGTGTAGACTTTGTTAATTAAATTCCTTGTTTGATTTGACGTAAGTTAACCTTTGTGTTTAGGCAACATTTTATCTGTCAGTTAAACTATCTAAGGGCCTGTCTCACCAAATTGTAAATTGTCTGATAACCATCAAACGTGTAAAATATATGATGGAAATATCGGATTTTGTTCCCTTATATGACAGTGACGTCATTTTTAAGCTATCTGTGCCTCTATCAGTCAGTGGTGGGACAGGCTCTTATTCTCTGTTATGCCTACAAATGCTATTATTAGCTGTACAGTACGACTGTTGAAAAAGTAGTAAGCGGGCCATAAAAGGCAATCAAATCAAACGCATCTGCAATGGGGATGTTTCCTAATTTTTGGAATAGCCTTTATTTTGTAGATAAACCATGTATGAACACGAAAAAAAAAAGTATAAAATATAATACTCATTATTTCAATAAAAAAACACGTAAATAAAAACAACTCTTTCATTTCCCCCCAAAACGTCCCATGACGTCACTTCTTTGCATACGAACCTCGCGTCACGGCCTGTCACTGTCAATTTGAAAGAACCATTGATTGATAATACTCGTAAATCTTTGTTGTCTAAAGTTGTTTTTAGTAATGGAGATAAAAATGAAAAAACCAAAATGAACAGAAGGTGATACTTTTAACGTATTAATTACACTTGTTGCTTCTCGTGGAAGATTATGTTTGTGTGTAAACAGTGACTGCGTCCTACACCAGTGTGACCAGGTATAAATTAAATTGTACTATAAGCTACTCTTATGAATTTTGATATATTTTTCTTTTGTAATATTCATAAAATGTTTTGCTCATAACTTATGTCGTAATTATAAAAACACTCAATAATGGAGTCCTCATAATATAAAACACGCAAACTCAATTATTACAATCATTTAGAAAAAAATATTACTACAAAATGCACTGACATTCACTGAAGTTGGTCACACTGCCATGTTATATGCAAGAAAGTGACGTCATTGATGTTTGAGATCGAGTAATGGAGGGTAAAAAATATTGCAGCGTTTTTAATTTATATTTAATTTGAGACAAACATTCAAGGTCTCTAAATGTTATTATAGGTTATAAAATGCTGTCTTTAAAATATTAAACATAACTTTATTTGGATTTGTAACATTAGGAAACATCCCCATTGCGGATGTTTATAGGCAGCGGTCGCTTTCGATTTCGGTGGATATACAGCCGCTTGCTCGTTTGCCACCTTATATTATAAAAAAAATACCTATCGTTTGAATATATAATATAATATATAATAAATTTATAAATTAACTGATATCTTAAATAACATTTTGAATAACGTTAACAAAGAACAAATTATTTAACCTCAATGCAATTAAAATTTATAATTAAGCGTTTTACCACCAAAAATCATGATGTATTTAAATGTAATAAATACAAAGTAATTTATATTAATTAGACATAATGGTAATTCAGTTGTTGCTAAGTTAATTAAATTTGCAAAGATTTAAATTTTTCAATTGCTTGTGTCATACAAGTCCGAAATCACATTTTACCGTCATTTCGTATTCCACGATTGACTTTTGTAATAATGATAGTATTATTCTCGTCTCTATCATACTTCTTCATGGATAGTAATCCATTAAAAAGCGAACGTTATCAGTGAGTAACATAGGCTAATTTTATTTAAATCCCACATGAACGAAGTCGTAAGCAATAGCTCGTTATTAACAAAGATGGGTATGCACAAAGGCAACTTTAGTGAACAACATTCTGGCCTGGAGACACATAAATCGGTGTCTTCATTGCAAAAAGTTCTAATCTACGCAAAGCAAAAATCATTTTTTCCACAAAATGGCGTAGATTTTAATATATCTGGTTAGACTAAAAGATCTTTTTTAATAATTCATCATAATGAATCATAATGAAAACAATTTGCAGTAAACTTCAAATCTCATACAAATTACGTCCCATAAATAAATCCACCTATTAAGGAACCGGTTAAAATCTTTTAATTTCATAGATTTCCGACACGAGTATATTATTGCGATAAGAAGATATTTTTAATTATAAATAAACACGTTTACTGCGGCAAGTAAAATCATAATTCTTGCGTACGGTAGGCCAAAATGCGCCCCCAATGATATTTCTGCCGATGCGTGGCAGGCCTTTTTAGACCCACCAGCGCTAGGATAGAGTATATTGCTACAACTTTGTGACAACATAATGTATACATTTTATGTAATGTAATATATACACCTGAAATAATCGTTTCGCACTAGCTAGAGGGTCATAGTTTTCTTCGTCCGCACCAGCTTAAGTACCGCGGCAGGCCGATATCGGCCTGTTACTCAGTAAGCATGTTAAACGAACGTATTTTCTCAACAACACTTTAGAATTATAGCGTTAGTTTCTAGAAGAAATGAAGTAACTCACTCAAAGAACATCAACCTCTTTTTGCCGGACGCATCCAATGACACATTGAATCCCATAATAATTCAATTCAAACAATAATTAACAACAGCATACCAGCTATGCTGTACGCGGGCTAGACTTTCACTGACGTGCGCTCGACCAGTGCACGATATTGAACAATCGACGGAAACGTGTTGAAAATGCAAGTCTATCCTGCCACGAGCATCCTTCCCGGCCTTCCGGTCTTTAACTGTGTAATTTTACAGCGATTCGGTATAAATTAATGTCGAATTATAAAACCAATGGTTAGAAAGTAATTTTAACTGACAGTACCCCAATTATACTGAGTTGCTGGAGTTATCATTTATTGTATCACTTGCTATTGCTTGCGGCTTCTCCCGCGATATACGCGCCCGATAACGTAGCTTTTTAATGGTGGAATTATTTTTGAAATAGACCTAATAGTTTTTGAGTTATGTCAATACATACAAAAATTCAAAATACAAATCGATTGCTCTTTATAACGTATATCATGAAGTTAATGAATCGTAAACACTAACGAGTGGTTAAATGTAGCTGGGAAACCGGCCATTACTCTCTCATTATTACACTGGTTTAGCAGTTACGGTAGATGATCCCCTGATAACTTTCTGTCAGTCGGAAAAAACTAAAAATTAACTAACGTCCCACAGTCCGTAATTAGTTGTTACAACTAAGGTAGTATTTCTATAATTAACATATCTAAGTGAACACCATGTTTGTCGATATCACGAAAGGTCTATCTAGACTCCAATGTCATATGTAATAGCACGTTCTATAAAAGGTCATTCGCAGAACGACGCTTGGGCAATGACGCATGTCCGCGCAGTTAAATTGCACCAATTTCTCTAACGGCCTTTCTTGACCATACACAACTCGACATCGTCCATAAAATGTACCCGTGTTTATTGAAATCCTCTAAGTTTTATTGTATTGAGTGACAGCCCAAGCCGAGGTCCCCTCTCGGGAGGCCTTGTGCCTAGTCACTCCATGGAGCGTTTACCGAAGCGATCTAAGAGCTCAGTAGCCTCCCAATCCGGTAATAATAACGAAGTAACGGCTCGTGCCGAGGCTCCTGAGGAAGCCCTCGAGCTTAGTTACTCATAAACGAGGTATAGGTTAAGCGCCATCTGCGCTCGGCCACCTCAAGCCCGGTGAATCTGTAAATGCCTCTTCAAGGCAAACAGTGGCCATTCAGTCACAAAAAAATTAAGATTTATTTGCAGAAATCGTCTCATGCAGTTCATTTAATAAAATTTAATACAATATAAGTTACAATAATGGAAAAATATTACGTAACCAAAATTAGTTAGCAGATACCTTGTTGACAATATGTGCGGTTTAAATTAAATGAAACCTTCAATATTGTTAAAAAAAATATTAAAATTAACATTATAATAAAGGAAACGATTTTAAATAAGTAACAATAAGGAACTTTTTGCTTATATTTCACGGTCGCCTCCTTTTCACGGTCTCCAACTTGTAAAAAGCTTTTGCTTTTATAATTAAGAAATAAGTTTTATTCTTGTATTAAAAACTAAAATTTAAATAAAGCAAGAGGTAATAAAAAAAGAGGGTACATCATTAGCTAACTATATGTACCCATGTAGGCTCGGAGCCTACCCTAAGTTACGGGTGACTAGGCCATAATCAACCACGCTGGCATATTGACTACACACATATCTTTGAATTCTTCCACCGATATGTACAGGCATCACATTTACCTCAGAAACATCTGGTAAAATACATACGAAATTCTAAAATCGGTACAAGACGAGATTCGAACCCTGGTCATGTAGATTGTAAGTCAAATGCTTAACCCCTGAGCCACCAACGCTATATAGAGGGTGTTACACTGACTCTAATTTATGACCTAACCAGATACATAAAAAATTTTACAACAAAGATAAACACCACAACCTTACGTATTTGATAAATACTTTTTGCATTCAATATGACAGTGAATTTATTATCATAAATAGCATGAAATAAGATTATAATGTTGTATTAAAACTAAATTGATCAGGTCAATGACATTAACCAATTCAAATAATACAATGAGTTTATCTTTATTATAATCCCACGACAATATTTCAATAACCTAACATAATTCAATGATAATTAAAACAATATAAACATCATACGGAGTATTTGTTAACGTCCAATAAATTATAATACCAGTAGCTTCTACCCGCAACAACGTCCGTGTAGTATAAAAATCAGAAGTTAGTAGCCTGTCTCTTCCATACTCTGGTCTATATCTATGCCAAATTTCATCCAGATCCGTTCAACCATTTAGGCTACAAACTCTAACAAACATCCATCCATCTAAACTTTCGCATTTATAATATTAGTCCGATTAAATTAGAAGTTCGATAGGAGGTAGGCGATGATCTAGGCTATGCCTAGGGGAGGGAGCGCGGCTTTTATTAATATAGTCATATTCGAAGTAGGTTTTATATATTTTTAGGATCTCTAGGAGGGGGCAGTTGGTCATTCCTACCATCGGCTACTGACGATGCAAATAACGGATTAAAACCTAATGTATTACAACGATTTTATGCATAAACTTGTTGCAATTGTGTATGGGCAGTGGAATTGTCTATTTTTGAAATAACGAAAAGAACCTTATTGCTTGTTTGTCATTCTTTAATCTTACTATGGTTTAAATGCGAAAGTTCTGATGGATGTTTGTAAGAGTTTGTAGTCTATACTGATTAGGGATCTCGATTAAATTTGGCATCGATGTAGAGGATAGTCTGTAAAAACACATAGGCTACTTTCTAAGTTGTTTAATTTCGCGCGGACGGAGTCGCAAGCGAAAACTAGTATGCATAAAATACTTGCCATGGTGCTTTCGTCATTACATTATGCGCTACACCGTTCTTGTTTGTCTCCACCGACGCCATTTTTATCTGAAAAAAATCATAGTTCAGTCAGTTATAAAATGTTTTGTTACTATCTGGAGCTTTATTACCACAGATTATATAATGAGCATAAGTGGCAAAAAACATACAATATGTTTTTTTATATTCCAAATGTTCCACGGAACTACTTGAATTGTATTCATAGTTTTTTAAAAACACTTTTAACTTATAACATATTTTTTTATTCGATGTAACGGATTTAATTGGCATAATGAGTGAATTTTAATCATTTGATTTTTTTAAAAAAATATTGTAATAGATTAGTAAACATATTATATACTACACACGCGTAACTAAGCATTATAAATAATGAAAATAATCGATTTTTTAGATATGATATTAGTAAAAAAAATGTCATCTTCTAAACTACTAAATCATTTTAGTATAATTTTCTTTTTAATCTCAAATTTTATTGTTACAAATTCATATTAAACAAACTGTAACTCGATTTATTACCAATTTTTGTCATAAATGTAATAAAATCATTTCCCGCGAACAGTTTAGAAAGAATTATAATGACTCAATACCCGCTGTTCCTCAATAAACCTCGGTGAAAACCTTGGCAATGACACACTTGAATTAATGAAGTTTAGTAAGTTTGTAGTCGCTCTTTCACTGTTCAAAAAATTATCTAGCTACCTTCTTTACTTTTTCAAGTTTTTGCTTTATTTAAAGGCATTATTATATGCATGCATTATAATTTAACATATATTTGTGTTGCTAGTATATGAAAATAATAATGAGTCTATCAAAAATAATTCGATTCGCGGACTTCTTTGTAAACTTCATCAAAATATATTCCGAAGAAACAAAAAAAAACAATCGACCGTACAAAATAACATATCAAAAACAAGATGTAAATCAAACATGAAACAAATTTTTTCGTTCGAGAATTTAACATGCATGATTATTGACTTTACCAATTTGAATTAAATAAAGCTCGTTGCCCTGTCGATATCAGTTTTTTTGTTATTATTACAATGTTTTGTGTGTTTATCACACTGCATACCATTCATGCATTCTATATTTGCATAAATATGCAACAATTATGAAACAACATTCATAGAATTATTAATAAACTTACTTTTGTTGGAGAATTAAAAAGAACTATCTAACAGATCACTGCGAATACACGAAATACGCGGGAAATGAGTTTCTTTTTAATTTTCAAAAGGCAAAGACAACTCGGCGCGTCCGCCAACTGACAGTTATCACGAACGACTAAATGACAAGAGCGGAGCGAACCAACACTGGCCAGTTGTATTTGCACGATGCTCTCATAATTAGGTCGGCATACAGAACTCAACATTTCAAAGTCCTGATATATTCTCGATGCGGAATCGATTGCAAAACTTCCTTATAAAAATAATATACTAAAACGCCTCTTATAAAAAAGTGACAGGTCTATCAACATTATACCCACTGTTTCCTTATCTGTTTGTAATAATTCTGTGATGAATATCGTCCACTTGCTAACAATCGTATCATTAATTCTGTCAGTTTTAACTGAATAATCGAAAAGTTCAGATAAAACTGTGCGTTTGCAAAACTACAACTGTTGTACTGACAGTTAACTTTTAGTTTAAAAGCGTACAGTTTTGAGTGAACAGTTGAACTTTTCAGTTATAAAACTATTTATCTACGTCGTAGTCTTTGATTCCAAAAATCAATCAAAAAAATGGGACCCACCTGCAAGCATTACCTTTCTAATAAAAAAAGAATTATCAAAATCCACTAGTGGCGGATTTATGCCGTAACACACGTAAAAAAAACATACAGACGAATTGAGTACCTACTTCTTTTGGGAAGTCGGTCAAAAACCGTCAGTATTAAACATGTAGCGGGCATAGTAAAACTATTTTCATAAGTTTTCTACTTTAAGTAATTGTTATTTGTTCCCTTTAAATAACACCTGTCCATATAATTTGTTCTATTTTGGGAATAAAACCCGTTTGTAAAGCGAACAAAAGTAGTTAAATCTATTTTGGTATATATCATTTTTTGTGCATTAACATACAGCGGTCATGTGACGTAAGAGTTCAAGGTATATTAAAAATCTTCCGATGGTTCGTAAATTACTCCATCTGTGTTCGCGTTGGCGCACAATATAGTTAGCACAATATGAATATGGTATCCATAAATTGTTAACGTTACAAAGTATAAAATGTCATAAATGCGAAAGTTTGGATAGCTTGCTACTATGTTTTTTTTATATCAACGTACTCTTTTTGCACAGTTAGGTTTTCATTTCTTTTTTTTGTTGCGTCATCCTTATAACACTAGTGAGTTCCTTTTTCTTGCTACTATGTTACAAATGCCTAACTTATCTCAATGAAATTTTGCACAGATGTAAAACATAACTTGGAAGAACAAATATGTTAGTTACCAAGTTATTTTAACTGTGGACTAACACGCGGGCTAAAGCTATAGATTTCTAAGTAGAACTTTAATTTGTGAATTAATTTCACATAGTTTAGATGAAACGCGCCATCAATCTATTGAGAAAGAAATTATGATAATACTAGTTTTCGCCCGCGTGGTATTAAAAAAACTAAAGCAAGTAGCCTATGTATTCTTTCAGACTATGTTGTACATCCATGTCTTTCATCGTGTTCGATCCGTGCAGCAGTTTAGACTACAAACTCTAACAAACATTCATCCCTCCATCTAAACTTTCGCAATTATAATATTAGTATGATTGAGTTATTATATTCAATTATAAATTGGTAACTTGAGCAAGTGTTTATTTCCCCTCGCGTTGTATGAGTAATAAACCCACGCTTTATCCAAAATTTTTGTACAGAAGCTGGTAAGCAATGCTTGCAAGAGTTGCACCGTTGTAGAAATGTTTACTCGCTGTACCTCGTGGCGGTGTCGTAAAGTGTTCGTTTGGCAACTGGCAGCTTGCCAGTGAGTAGATCATCGCCCGCTAACCACGTGCCTGTGAAAGTAACCTATGAGATGAATTATAGTGCTGCTGATGTACACTGGCCAGTTCACTTTCTAAATGCCATGCCAATGAATTCATTTGGAGTCGTTAAATTGTATTGTAAAGGATTTTCAATAATATTTCAGATAAAGCCGTGTAATGTTTAGCTATTTTATAGACTTTATTTAAATGTTATAAATTATTTTAAATTAGCGGAGAATTTGTATTGTTTTAGGTTTAAAAGCAAAGATTTAAACCTAAATTACCTGCATTATTTTTAATAAGATCGTAGTTATTCTTACATTTGCCTTTTTTTGACCGACTTCCCAAAAGAAGGAGGTATTCAATTCGTCGGTATATTTTTTTTTTATTTTTTTTTATGTGTGTTACGGCATAACTC